TTGGTTGTGGACAAAAAACTGTGATTTAGTGGAGATATGAACAATAACTTTTTTATTTTGCCCTCAAATTTCATTGTGGTGCTGTGAGAATTCGTTCATTGTTTGCATGCACGGTCGGGTTTTGACAACATGGCATTGTGCATCCTGTACTGATAAATACTAACCTCTAACAACACACACTATTTCAATGAACATTTATTGTCGATGAATTATCTCCTTTGAAAGAGCAAATACCAATCAAATGAGGGTATTTGGAATGATGATTTCGCAGCTGTGGAAATGGGTGTTCAGAGATGCTGGCCATTGTTGAACCGACTGTAAATAAACAACCGCATTGCCTAAAAGTCTTCGTTCGCCAATGTACTTTTGGAGTGGCAACGGTTCAAGACGTTGTAAAGCAAACGAGTTTTGAAGTAGCCTTTTTTTAAAGGTACAGATGGCCTGTAGGTCTAGCAGCATAGGCGGTCTGGGCGAATCTCACATATATACCGCAAATATCAATCAACTGTATTTTAATTTTTCTGCACTAAATGAAGAACGATGACTCGACAGAGGCACTGCGTAAACTGCTGGTGGACGCTTCACTGGCAGCTGCCAAGGCAAGCCTCTCTGATAACGAGGACGACGAAGAGGACAACGACGAGGTGGACGACGGTTTGTCAGCATCGGATGATCCCTATACCAACACCACCTCGGCATCGGCCTCAACCAACAATACCGAACCTGAGGAGGTTGAGAAGGCTGAAGAAGCTGAAGAAAGGACCCTTCGCCAGACCGACACCGACGAAGCCTCCTCTTCGTGCTCCTCTGCCTCCTTTGACGCCGGTCTCTGCTCCTCCTCCACCACTACCACCACTCCTACCACCACCGCTGCTTGTGCCTCCTTGCCCCACCGCCACCACAACCACCTGGCGCAGGTAGTGTTGGCGGCACTAGGGAGGTTGGAAGAGGGTGAAAAGGCTACGTGGGTGGAAGAGGGCGGAGATCTATGGACGAGCCCTCTTTCTGAGTCGGAGCGAGCACGGGTGCAGGCGGCGGTGCCGCGGACTGCGATGCCCCTCGTTCAGTGCTTAGCCCAGGACCTTATCAGTGCTCAGGCCCAAGTCAAGCGGCTGCGTTCGCGTGTTCGGCGTCTTGGACAGCGAGTGAGTAAATTCCTTCTGATTGAGTGAATTCCCCCTTATTAACTCTATTCCATTTATTCACTACCTGACCTAAGTTTATACATTGATTTATCCATCCATCTTTTCGACCCTCCACCCACCTACTCCTGTTTCAATGTAACCATTTGCTTTTTTTCACCTATCAAGTCACTTACATCAAGCAGTACAAAGCCTTGCCAATCTGCCTCTTTGTAACAGTTTGTCCATGGAATCATTCATTCATTTGTTCATTCGTGCATTTATTCATTCACTCACTCATCCATTTACTTTTCTGTCTATTCATTAATTTATGCATTAACTTGACACACACCTATCATTTCCAATTACTTGTGCGGTTTCATTCTTTTTCGAGTGCTAATTGTAATCCCTCTGGTATTAGGGACTTTCTGGACTTCGGTTTTTTATACATGCGTGTGTTTCTATCATTTTTTAGTGGTCTAACCAATGCTTTTGTGAGTTATTTGAATTCGCCAGTCCCTTTTAGTCCTGGCTGAGTAATTTCTTAGTTCTTTTTATCTCGTTGAAATTGCAGGCACAAGTTTTGAGGGGTTCGATTAGAATTTACATTTCAAAATGTAGAAACAAGCAATTTTAAACTTTGTCTTCTAATTGGTGAAGGTTCACCTACGGTGACCTGAGTAACGAAAAACCAGTAAGCTTTAACGTGGCCGGTATGCCATCAACTTTAGACTTGGAGCAATATTTCATCTGTGTGCTTGGAATAGTAGATCGTGTCTTCTCAGGAACCACCGAATTTGGTAGACCGTCTTACCCCTACAATGTGTTAGATTCGGTTCTTTGATATTTGTTTCAAATTCATTAACTGACCCACTTTGTTTTTGTCCCTGAACATTGCCAGTTTTACCATGCGTACTGCCGGAGTCTCAGAGGCATTTTGATTACTGCATTCCAGATGGCCCACAAATCAAATGTGGAATTAGTTGTCACTGACTTTTTCAATTGGTTATACTTTCCAGTAAATCTAAGAAATATGCATGTCTGCAGACCAGGCACATCATTCTAAGTCTATCTTCTTTGTTCTAAACTCAACCGACATGTTTTAACGCAAGATTTGGTGCGGTTAGTTATCGTAAGGTAATAAGGAATAGGAGGAGTCACATATTTGTGACGCTGAGCTCGAACAAGGGAATTTAGGAATTTGATAAATGAGTTCGAGTCTCTGGTACCTTGCTCACAGCTACCAGTAATTGTCAATCTTAATGATTGTTGCTATACCACATTTTAAATGTTCGAGTTTTATTATCGCTAATTGCTGTTTTCCAGAGTGTCATTTTAAAGGCCCTAAGCTTTGCTAACTTGGGAACTGCTGTGCATTATAAGTAGAGTGAGGCATTCGCCTCATTGGTTGATAATACTGTCCAGTTAGCAGCTTTGAGGAGGCACTTTTTGTACAACTGAGGTTTAGTATCCTCCCTCCGAAGATATTGAATTCAATTCGTAATCCACGCGCGCCACCTGTTGTGAGGGTTAAGTGTCGCTTAACGAAATCACACGAAATCCCAAAATTCGGATCAGATTGGCAGTCTCTGTTCACATGACTGACTGCTATCCTTCTTCCTCGTTCGTGTTGCTTGCGTGTGAAATTGTTACACCTAACGTCCCTCTCTTTCATGCGCATCCTCACCCGCTTATCTCTCTAATTGATTACCAAATCATTTACCACTCGCCATTTTGTGTAGCAAAAAGATGCTTCCATAATGTCATTTATCTATAATTCCAGTTCAAAGAAGAAAGGTGTTTTTTGCCAAATTTGTGCTCCCCAAACAGGGGTTATTTGTTCAATTTTCTTCCCAATTTAAGCCTTCACTTCACAAGTGAGCCCACATCTGCTGCTCACTGTTTAGTAGCGTTCTGGAACGCATCAAGCAATAAACTGGAATCCTTTCTATGGGTGTGTTCACTTTGTACTTTAATAGGGCATACGAGCTTTGATTTACTGGAAGACTGAAGGAGAATGTGGAACCGCAATGGTAAGTAATATAGAGGCAATATTTTTGTAGGCGTTGGAGGATGCCGAATTCAGGCGTTAGCAATGCTAAAAGTGATTTCAATATTTAAATGTTTGCGGGAGCAAAGTTTTGCCACTCAAGTTACCTTTGATGCCAAAGGATGTGTGCAGATGTTCGTAATTAATTTTTTTCAAAATAGTCATAGAGCTGGCTAAGTATCCACGATGTACTGGATGGTAGGATCCTTTGGTTTGCAAGTGGGTCTACTTTATGCCTACAGAAGAGTTGGTGACCAGCAGCGTGGAGGTATGAGCAGAGTTGGGTGCCGCCAGTCTGAAAGCCAAATTGCGGGTAATCCTCAGGTCTGCGTAGCTAGTTGAACGGCTTTGTAGATATGGTTGGAAGATCAAGGGCCGAGACGATATGGTTAGAATTACCTGCATTTCCGGTACCATGGAGTCATAAAATACACCATTCACATCAGCGTAGCTCTTAACTTACTCCTTTAAAATGTGGGAATTCATAAATGATTCTCTCATAATGGTGTAAAAAGGCCGAGAAGACTTAGAAACTGAGAACGATCAAAAGCACACATCCATTGAACGTCTGCTGTACCAGAGGAGAGAATGATGTTTTGGTGTTTTCCGCTTTTAGTTGACGGACCAGGAGGCTGCAGCGGACGAAGCAATAGAGCGATTGTGTCTACGCTGCCACAATCTTGAGACGCGTCTGGCTGATGCGCAGACCCTAGCCACCGCTCCCACCGCTACCCTCGAGCTGGGTGGTACTGAGACGCCGTCGCCTTCAGATGAGAGAGGTCGCCTGAGCCCGGTGCCGGAACAGGGCGAAGACACCGAGGAGACAGAAGAGGAGACAACAGCGCCGACGACCTTGACTGAAGATCCCCGCCCCTGCGACATCCAAAGCAAATACTCTTCCCTCCTGGCACTGTATGAAAGTGCACTCCAGAGGTTCGCTGTCTCAAGGTCTTTTCATCCTTACATTACCCAAGATTGACTCCGTTCTTTTTCCTTTCTAATAGTGAAAACTTGAAATCCCTCCAACATTTGAAATCTTACGTCTAATATTTTTATGACCAGTATCACATTTGTTACGCCTCGATTTTCCTATCTGGGCGAGTTCTTTCTTCACTTTTTGACCATTTGCTGTTAATGTTGGTTGGCTCCAAGCTTGGTTTGGTCTGGAGTAAATAAATAAAATAGGTTTTTAGCTATTAGATTGCTTGGTAAAGTAGGCAGTTACCAAAAGAGGAGAGGTGAACGTTTTTACGGCAAATCAGCCAATTTCATAAAGCACTTGATTTCATTTTCAGCGTATTCATTGCGAAAATTAGCCTCTCTACCGATTGGTACTGCCGTGCCAAGGAGCACTTTGAAGAAGTAGGGTCGAAGCCTTTTTTGTTAGCCGCTTGACGCTTGAGGAGGTGACAATTCCTCAATATAGCCTGAAGTTATACTTGAACATGGGTGATATTCTTAGGTTCCAGGATTTATCATCGATTTGAACTCTCGGTTCTTCCATCTTGGTGCTCATCAGGAGGGTCAGTCTTTTTTGTAAAATCAGGATCCATTTAGATAAAATAGAAAAAGTCCAATATAAGATCGCGTGGACTTTTCCCTCTTTTCCCCTAAGTTATCCTTAGCCTGGCGTTGTCTGACTCACTCTTGGGATGGGTTGCCAATCAAGACTTAAGTAAATATTTTATAAATAACTTCCTTTTTTGCCCCTGCATTTTGACTGATTACTGAATTTCGGGATTCTTGGGGCCACCAATAGTTGTAAATGCCTTCTGCTTAAAGCTACCAACCTTTTTGGCTCCTGGAACCGTTTTCGCCCTCCACACAAGGAAGAAGCCCATCACAGGATTGCAAGGAAAATGACATGAAGCAGTAGTTGTCATAAAGCAAAAATAATTAACCTCCTTCTCTCGACCCATCATTCTCCCCCAGATTTCGCTCTTGGAATAATTCGTCACCCTTTGAAGATGGAATTAGCTTTTTATAGAACCTAGAAATGTGATACGTTTTGAGCTCTCTATGCTCCCACTCTAGTGTTTGGATTACCCAGAATGGCTACTTAAGGCCTCTTAACCACTTCGTTTTCGCTAAGGCGGTAGATCAATACAAAACATCCATCCATCCATCTATTATTTTGATGGGAATAAGGCGTGGCCTCCTCACCAAAGTACGAATGGTTGTTTTGCCTTTCCCCCTAGGTCATTATCTTTAAAGTGAATTTTGACCAAAATATTCCTGTAATGAGTCATTACGCTAGTTTCGACCAACTTTTTATTGGCAGGCAGCCGATGTCTGTTTTCAATTTTATATCTTCCTTTCAGTGAATAAATTCAGTATTCCTGATGAGTAAATAATCACCATCAGCAATATCCTGTTTGGTGTTTGAATGTGTTTTATATCAGTCGTAAAATTGTGATGAGAAGGGAGTATGGGATGGTGGGACTGACTCGCCATTAAAGTACAGACGATTAATTTCTCCCCTCCTCCAGTTAAATTAGGAGGCAAGTGCAGTTTACAATTGACACCCGATTCTTAACGTCAATAATGTCCTTCGGTTAGAGTTTTCTTGACTTTTGTTTCATGGCATGGAGTCAGAACGTCTTAGAGGCAACCAATTATCGTGAGCATGCCCTTTTAAAGTTCCCTAGCCCTAGTGAACTTTACTATGTACAGATTTAAAGTTTGAGATGAGAGTGGTAGAATTAAGCATCAAAGTATAGGTGGTGGTTAATCCTTTTCCCCTTAGTAGGTAAATTATGGTTCAATTGGCTTCTAGAGGAGGCCGCTACACTAGATTTTATTAGGCTAGTGTAGTTCAGATTTATTTAGGTTTTAGTTCCAATTTCAATTTGTTTCTGGGTTTTGGAAAAAGAAAGTAATTTTTTTCAGGATTGCTTCGATAAGTGAAATAGAGATTTCTGGGTTTTGTCCTGCCCTTGGCGAGGTCGAATTTGTCCTTAAAATGAGTCATCGTGCAAGATTTACCCTAGGGATTACCGTTTGAAGTTAGGACTGTGACCTTCGAGTTACTCATGAAGACGCTACAAGCCGTCACACGAGCAGGTAGTTGAGCCTCGGAAGAGTGGGCAGACTCGGGTAGTAAATGTTGTAAATAGGACTTCATGACATTAAGGGACCGTTTTTCCTCTTTTTTTTTATTACAGGGAGAAAAATTTAAAACGGGATCTTGCCAGCGTTCGTGAAGATCAGGGAAAGGTTCTGACCACCACCGTGGAATGTCAAACTGATAGAGTGAGTTACCCTCGCCTCCTTTTCGCACAATCAATGAATTTCTCTTCTTGAGGAGAGAGATCTGTTCCTGGCCACTTTCCCCATTTCGGATAGAACGTCATTCAACTGATTCAGATCATAAATATTTATAACTGTGCGTTGGTTGCGTTCATGCCTATTCGTTCTCGTGCATGCAGTGTCGGCTATTTGAGGAAAGCACCTGTTGAAAAACGAGGAATTTGGAAACCATTGTGCTACTACAGGACTCAGTAAACTCGTAGGGAAAACCACTCGATAGAGCCGTCGTCGGTTCCAACCACTTTCCCCAATCAGCTTTTGAAATGACTCCACCTGTTACTAATGGCAGACGTCCTTCGTATCGTAGGCTTGCTATTGATAATCCACCAGATATGGCTCCTAGTACGGTAGCGTAGGGGGCTTAATTTAGGTAAAGTGAGGATGAAGGCTTTGGAAACAGCATGTTCCTGAAAACTGCTGGGTCGGGTAGGCTGTACGGGTAGGAAATGAGTTTCGGCGATGCATGCGATTTTTTGTGAATGGTTATCTTGATGCAGGCCTTAATAATTACTTTCAAAGTCTAGACTTAAACGTCTATATTAATTCTACGAACTTGCAGGAACCCGTTGCCGTTGACGAAAGCTAAGAATGGCGGAAGAGGATTTTCGACAAAGGGCTTTTAATAGTCTGTACCACCTGAGTTAGTATCTAAGACATTATAAGGAGTGTAAATTCGGAATTGCTTTATGCAGAAGAGCGGAGAGACTAGTATCGTAGGTGCGGAGTCCGAGCTTCGTACCACTATTTGTGTCTACTTCACAGAAGACTGGAAAGGGCTGGAGGAACAACATAAAATTAAGTAATTTTGTCGCCAAGTGGCCGACACACTCCATGCGTAGGCTCCTTCATCAAAATTTTCCATGTCCTTTTTTTAGAATCCGGAGTCCGAGGAAAATTCGACAGTGGAAGAACGGGGTAGGTTGATATGATTACTTGTTTGCAGTCCTTATAACCCACAGCTTCCCTAATAACTCTAATGGGAAGACTCTTTTGTGTTTTGTTGACTCATTGCCGTCGTCATCGTCATTAGATTACGAAGATGAGGATGAATCGACCTGGCAAACGGTAGTCAGACGACCGAAGAGTGGGCCTCTGGTAATTCTCGTGCATGACACCAACCTACTTTTTTGTTGCCCGCATGCCCTAGCATAGACGAGAACATTCTCAATGCGGTCGCCTTGCAGTGATTCACGCTTGCGCTGCAATGCACTTCTGATAAACACGGTGGTGGTTACTGTCTGCGGCCAGTCACACGGTTGTATGTGACATATTCGATTCTCATGGGCAGAGTCACTTTTAATTTTGGAAGTACGCCATCATTTTGGTGGTTCCAAACATCTTTACTAATTTTTTTTTGTCAAATTGGGTAAATTTGAAGAAATTACAAAATCGGGGTCCCCTCATAACCGTGGCGCGGCAGCGTAGCCGACTCGAAATATTAACAGTTAATGGCTGGTGTTTGGCCGGTCGGGGTGCGGTTGGTTAACACGCGGTGCAATCTGTGGACGGTTGGGAGTCGTTACACTCTTTATCTTGAATCAGCTACACAGGAATTCTGAACAGAGCCGAATTGTGTGATGACTAGTTGCAATGAGGACAAAGACTGAAGCCTTGGCCTTTCGAGTTGACAATCATACAAATGCACCGTATTTTTACCCTTGAGGCCTCGAGATGGTTTTTCCCACTAGTTGCAAATGTTTTGCACAACAGTGCGGCACTGAAATACGATGCATCAATGTAAAGCAGCCTTGTGGAGACCCTGAACTGAAATTCGGTTGAGTTGTTTTAGCTTGATGTTGATTTGTACTGCTTGCATTCACATCCCGAAGTTGGTGTAAGTTAGCGGCAGTGAATTGCGTCGCGGTCATCGTCCAGGCCACACCCAATCAGCCTGAATGAAATGACAAGGCGAAGTAAACAATCCAATTACTGGAGGAGAATTATCGTGCAAATTGAGCCACTTTCCGCCTTTCAACCTTGTTACATTACTGTTTTTTGTGTAATGCGGAGTGATTTTTTCAGAACTCCTTCGCCAAATTGAATTCATGTAAATAAATACTAAAAAGTTAGTGTTTTTGGTTTAATAGTACCGCTATCTGGAGGCGTTTTACATCACGTCTTTAGGCGACACTTGCACGATCCAGCATTGCAATTGCATGAACGGGACTCTAAGATGGGAAGGCTGCGTGGTCTTTCACGGTAAAGCTCTCTCAACCATAAGTTTTCCGGGTCCTTGACTGACTGAACCGGGCTTGGCACCAATTGTCCTGCGTCGTGGCTTACCTCCTTACAATGTGGCAAAGGCGGCGTTGGGGATTAATGGCTGGTGCTACGACGAAACAGTATTTTGACTGGAAATTGGGCATTTCACAGTTCATCAGTTGATAAATTTTCCAGCATGGCTCGATCCATTAGACAAATCCTCGTGCCAATTTATTCAGGATCTTGTTAGCTTGCGTTTTAGCTATCGCTCGCCCTCTTCTGTAATACGTTGATTCGAATCGACTGATTGACAGGTTGATTCTGCTTGTCACAATGCTCTCAATTCTCGTTTTCTTCATCGTCACCGTTCAGTTTTATTAATTTTCAGCATGATACTATCATTTGAATTGAACCTCACATTTCATTTGTTCCCCGTTTCTCTATTTTGGTTTCATCACCTCTGTAGACGCCTTTTGCGTCCGTCTTACTGAACTTACATGAATTTCAAATCACGTGCTTAAAATATCAAAGATATCTACTGTTTAATACTCTTCTAGTAAATAAAGAGAAATGCAATAAATATCGTTTTAGGATTTCTTTCAAAGGAAATTGGAGTAGCAACAGCCTACAGCAGATGTTGGACCTGTATCATTGTTTTGCAGCAACTCATGATGATGCTGTTGCATTACTTGAGCATGGGTGGTCACGTTGCAAATCGCAAGTCTCTCTAGTGCCTTTGTTCTTTCCCCTTTTTACCCTCCAGCCCGCCCCAGTGATGACCGACGAACGAACGATAGCAGCACCACCCCTGCGACCGCCCCCCATCCCCGTTCAGCCACTCTGCCGCCCCGAGACAGTGGTTCCTCGTCCAGCCTCTCCGAGATGCGACAACACAGCAGCCTAGACACCGACACTCCACCCCCGCGTCCCCCCAAACCACTCTCCTCCGCCTCTTCCCTCTCCTCTACCATCGCCTCGACGGTCGCGGATCGCCTGAATCTAGCAGCGCTGCCTGAATCGGAGCGAGAGCTGTTGGATGTGCAGAACCACTTTGTCGATTCGAACTCCAACCATCTGCATGAGTTCTACATGCAGCGCATCCGTGTCGGCACGAACGGAGCGTTCTCTCGGAAGCGTCCGCCATCTCGCTCTTCAACCATTGTGAGTCAATCGCAATGCATCTTTATTTCCTTAGTTACTTGGTAGATAAATCACCCATTCTCGAGTTGAGTAGATCTAAATTTTGTGAGGCGGTAAGAGGCGAAGGCGACTAACACTTGCCAAAGGTATCTTGACTTGTAAGGTGAATTTGACTGTGTAAAAGTATCTGAAGTGCCACATGAGTGTTTAGTTTGTTGATCTCCTGGACTGCCTACTTTCTATGCCAAAGTCGAAAGCTTAGTGCTCCAGGTACCGACTGAAGATGCCACGGAACATGGGAACACGTTTGCCAGGTTTTTTCGGTGCTGTGTGGAATTAAGATAAACATCGAAGTGCCGCAAGGCCATCTGATGACAGGCATGCGATATTGAAGGGATTTTTTCCTTTCTGATGGCTTTTAATCTCGACCATGCCCGTAACCGGTAGTCGGGGGGAAATCTGCGTTAAGATGTTATCAACTAGACGAAGCATAGAGCCAAGGTACTGTTCTCGGGTGGAAAATTACTACCTCCAAAGAAGTGACTACTGCCCTCTTTCAACACTCATGACTGGCATTGAGCGTTTGGGATGCCTGTTGCGAATCAGCATATCCTTACCTTGTTGTAATCAGTTGTCACACAGTTGGAATCCGCGTCTCCTCAGTTTAGTTTAGTTTCGTCACGGCGATCACTTTCGGTCAAAGGCAGATATTTATTGTTTGTTTTTTTGCGTGAAATTCATTCGTCTTCTACAGCCTTGAAAAGTGAACCACTCAGTGCTTTACCGTGTTCAGTTTTTTTCCAAAAAAAAAAACATTCGTCTTCAAAACTTTTTCTCAAATCAGTTCTTCCAGACTTGGAAGGGGTAGGTTCCGTCTAAAATGGATCAGCGACTAATAAGGCTATAAGTGCCTGCAGATTACAGTTTTTTCCCAAAGATAAATTCAGGAGAGAAAGCCTTGTACTTTAATTATTCGAAGTGTAATTAAGCTCATCCTATTCTTTCTATTCTAGCAAACATCCATCTACGATTCACCGCTTCTGAACCCGTAAGTTGGCGGAGCCTAGCTACACTGATTTACATTCGTTTGTTTAAATCAACCTCACGTTGTCTTGTATTCTTCTCACCTTAGAACCACCTTCTCCTCTACTTCGACTCAATCAAATCGCAATTCAGGTGGGTTTTTAGTCTGCCTTTTTTGGCAAGTTATTACCCAAAATGAAAAGGCAAGAAGCAGCCATTTGTGTTTCTGACATGCGTGTTAACACAATCGCGAGGTGGTGGTGTTAACTGGCCGTGACTCACCCCTTGCAACTGCTACTACCTCAACGCTTCGTTTATTTTGAAAGTTATGTAGCAGTAACACCTACTTTTCACTTTCTCCTCCTCACATAATGGCACACGCTTGTATTTCACAGTCTTAAATTAATTTGCCTCTTCCTTGAACGTGGAAATACCCGTGCGATGGTCAGCTTGCATCACGCACATTTTTTTCTTCTGGTGCATTTCGAAATTTTTTAATCTGCAGTCAGCTTCTCGTTCAGGACACCGGTGCCCTTGTAACAGCTATATGTGACCTTTGGCGGTTATTCTGTGCCCTTAAATACTTCAATCTCCTGTTGTCGCCACCTGCGGTGGGATTGGGGGTCCACTTGTGGAAAATGATGAGCCCCGTCTCGACAGGCATGTTTTAGCGACAGACAGATTTTCACAATAAGCGTTTCATGCATATTCTACTTTCTAAGTATTCTGCGAAAACAAATAGGTTTTGCGGCTCACCAAAAGTTGCATCCATGCCTCCAGTATATGTTCACCCAATCGTGGCAGTTTTAAGTACCTTCTTGATTTATTGTGATCCCAACAGTTACTGAGCTCTTCAAAACGGGAGACATCTGTCTGCGAAAGCCTAATTTAAGTCAAGGTGGGATATATTTAGTGATCTGTGCCAGTGTATATTTAAGCAAACTTTTTCTTTTACTCAATAGAGGAAACCCTGCTTTAGGCAGAAACAAATGAATGAATGCGAGAGCCCATTTTTCTAGCACGGGAGTGCTACTTAAATCCTTCAGTAGGTGTTCTCGACTGTTTTGATATTTATAGAATGCAAATCCAAAAGTGGATCGCTGAGGAGTAATGCGGAGTCAACAGCATCGCAACCACCTCTAGCCGCATTTGTCCCTCATTCCCAATCACCCTTCCGTGTTCCTCTCTCGGGCCTTCGTGAGACGATTGCAGGTATCGATTCACGTGGCGGTTTGGTTCAATCAACGAAACGCTCTTTTGGTGCGCACGCATATATTCATGTATATCTCATACTTCCGTCCAGGCTTAAGGTCAACCAGTGAGGTGTTGCCTAATCCAACTTCTTGTCCCACCACAAGTGCACCTTCACTTCCTATCTCAAGAAATTCTGCCTTCTATCCCGCTGGTCCGCAGCCTTTGGTAGACCCCTTCCATGGTACGCTACTCGTTCTCTGCACAATGCATCGAGAATACCTAATTTGATTTTCCCTCTTGCAGATGCTCAAGCCTCTTCCTCTTCGAATTCCTACCAAACCATGCCACAACCCCACCGTCCTTCTCCAACCGAGGTAAATCCTGCTACTTTGCCATTATTCAAGAACGTGCCCCATTTCAACAAATTTTACAACCTGCAGCAGAGCGTGCGTAGCCCAAACTGGATGGAGTCGACGTCGCAGGAGTGTCAGAACCGCTGGTCCCTTCTCCATCACTACCCTCGATTCTCTCCCTCCTCTGGGTCTTTTCACACCTCGCCTGCTAAAAATGTCGTCCCGGCAAATATCATCAGCAACTCCGACATCATCGATAGAAAGCCTGCTTTAACTCGCGGCACCGCAGCACCCCTCTTCCCTTCGAAACACTCACCTTTGATCCCCAATACTTTTCAGAGCTATGGTGGTTGTCTTATTTATCTGCCAAACTGTATGTTATGCAGCAAGTTTAAAAAAATTAATAAATAGTTAGGGGTATTGTTATCCGCCTCTAGTAGGTCCAACCATCGACACAGTTTAAAGCGTCATTCGATCATATGGCAAATCTTGTGACATTTTCATGGTCCTGAAACAGTGACTACTCCCTGTAGAGGATACAGAAATGTGTAGCGCCTAAATGTAACCAATTCTACTGTCAACACAACAGAATCCACCTTGAGATAATGCCGAAGTAGTTGCAAACAGACTAGATCATTGCAACAATGATTTTGGAAAACTAATCGGCCCATTGACATGGTGTAGTTTAATCAGATCTGGATTGCAACTACCAGCCGACATTTTGGCGTTCTTTAGATATTCTTTTATTTGCCCTTTATAGGTCTTGATGATCCGCTTCCCTACTGAATTCGCGATCTTCCATAACTGTTAAATAGCGTTTGTTGACTACCCTCTCTTCAATTAACCAATCAATCAGTCAAACAATCAATCACAACCTACTCCTGCCGCTACCATCCTTTTATGCTCTTCAACGTCTGTATGTGTGGGCTCGTTATTCCAACGTATACGTATACCTGTTCCCTCTCGCCCCATCTCCACCTCCTTCCCATCCACCTCCGCCTTCCAACTCTGTTATCTCCCCCTACTCCTGACTGGGCAGCCCAAATCTCGGTAGTGAGTACTGTATCGTGTCGCCATGTTATGAAAGCATTTGAATTGCATTGAGTCTGTTCTTCCTCTTGTTGTCGAAGTTGGGGAGCAAGGAAATCCTAGCGTCGACTTTGGTAGGCTGAGAGATAGATTGAGGCTATCTTATGTTCTCACTTGACCTGAATTGATTAAAAGGGGTTTTTTGTGGACGAAAAGCACCGATAATTCCCGAACTAATTTGTCCCAATCCGCATCATTTCTTTACAGTTACGACGGTGTTTGCAAGGTGACCACATGCTTCTGTGGAAACTGGGAATTTCCATCTCTTATTATTTAATTAAAACACGATTTCCAAAACTCATCATCAGGTCAAAATGAGATTTCCTCACGACAGTAAGCTGGTCCAGGGTTTCTATTCAATCATCTCAGGAGTTCAACACAGTACACGACGATAAACATACTCCCGGACTCCTTTTAAGTGCCACCTCGGTCTGTGAACCTCCATCTGCTATGCAGAATGCCATAGATCGAGAGACCTTGGTTAGTACCTTACAGTAGGCTACGGTGAAGATGCAGCAATTACACGATGACCAAGGTAGTTGTTACTACCGACTTTTTCTGTAGAAGGAGGAAATTAGTTAGAAATTTTCTTAATTCCACAGGTAAAATAAAGAGTTGCGAGTAGTTTTTTGTCTGACACTTCAACCTAGCCTCGTGGCAAATAAGCGCGGTGGTGTCATCATGTCAACTTGTCTTAATAGCTTCGCCCCACAGCATAAAGAAACTCTTGTTGTCTCCGGAGCAATATTCAAGGTGTGAACATCAGTTATTGCGCACAATGCAACTGTCAGTATTCATAGAGGACTCGTCATCATCATCGGGAGGAACGCTTGAGTCACCTCATGTCGGTCCTGCTTGTATCGTAGGCGGTTACACTACACCTCTTACTGTACCACAGAAATTACCGGTTTAAAGATGGAAATTCGATTTTAAAAAGAATTGATCCTCATCATTTCACTTCAGGATGGATAAAGCGACTTCCCTCTGCTTTTTATTCAACAATCCTACTTTTTGGCATTATAATCGGGTTTTTGGGTCAAGTGTAACATAAAGTCTAGATGTCTTAGGGCTATCCTTCGAAGTTTACTACGCCATGGTCATCAACCGATAGAACCAGAGTTGAGCATTTCTGTAGCGCCTGAGTTACTCCCCAAGATGCGCGACGTGGGAGTCAAGATCTCACTTGATGATTATCCCGAAAAACGAAGAGCATGATCAGTCTGAACTACCAACAACAAGCACCACCTCACTATATTTTGAATTCCGAGTTTTCCGTATAGTTTAACAACGCACAACTTCATTTGTCTAATAAAGTTGTGATGATGGGCATCACAGAAGAGCTAAAGGCAGCCTATGCGAGTTATGGTAAATGCAGAAGACTGAGACGTCATTCCCCCCTGACCGTCTCAAGAAGCAGCCCCTAGCCAGCAGTGAGCACCGGAGAGTATAGGCTTGTGATCTCTTAATTTCACTGATTTCTCACATAATCGCAATTATGGGTCCCTAAGCCCACCGTGCACCTTGACTCCCAGCTTGTACTTACAATAAACCTTCGACTTAACTCTCTTCCTCCTCCCGCAGTCCTTCAACTGTTAAATCCAATTTCGTGAGAATCACTCTGCAACAATTTCAGATGCGGACCTTCCAGAAGTACAAACAGTTTGTCCTCCGTACTTTTTTTCGTTTAAAAGTCGTTCTATATATCTCGATTCCTTTAATATTTATCGAGTAAATTCTGTATTTCTCATAAAAAACGCAGAATTATACGCTTTGACTCGATAGCACTGCCTTAAAGAAGAAATACGCACTTTTAAGTGGATGAAACATCCCAGAACAAGAAACTACTACGACAAAAGAACAACCAATTTATTCACACAAAAAGATCACAATTTTGGTGAAACACCACGTAAAAAGTGAAAAGCATTCGTGCAACGCATTCCCCCTAAGTAACTTCAGCCCTCCCCGTCACGAAAACTCCTAAAAGGTCTTCGGAAGGGCCGCGCAATGCCACCAAAACGTAACTGTCCAGACTCCTTCATGCCACCCAGTCCACCACCCAAACGACGTGGCTTCCAGCCTGGCAGGCTCCGGCTGAAAGAGGGCTCCATGATCAGCTAAAAGAGAAGAGTAATCGTAAAGACTCATTCATACCGACTCTTGAGTCTCAACAATTTGACTACAACGCTGGTGACATTGGGCTTCAGTAAGCTCAGCCCCGAACTAAATTTCGGACCAGTGTACTTTATCTCTTCTTGGGAGCCGACTCTGGCGTTGCATTGATGGGGGAGGTGAGTCGACCCGGTACACCTCGATACTACTTCCAAGTATCAGATGAGGATGGCAATAAAAGCGCCGGAGACGGAACATATGTTTTGAGAACACAATATCTCCATAGCAGATTGTATTCACTGTATGAACTTCGTTCCTGTTTCGTTGTCAATTTTGATTAATGGCGAAACCTGTGAGGGTTGAAGTAGGAGTGACCACAGAGTTCGTTGGGGAGGATATAATGCTAGTGATCACGCAGTCTCTCTGTATGTAGGTAGCAGACCTACTTCCAAACTGACATGTGCAACACATCCTCAAAAGCCAGGCGTCACATATGCCAAAAGCCAAACTTTGCATTTACCATTTTGTGCGAGGAAAGCCTGTAGTAGGGCCAATTCTTGACAAGGCTAGCCGCCAAGACCGTCGTTCTGTTTTGGTGCATTAATCATCGCAAATAATGTAAACCAAAGCTTAGTAATTGCCTCAATTTTATTTGTCAAGCCAAGAATCTGTAAACACTTGTTGGTAGTTAGTATTTCCACAAGTTCTGGAATCAGTTTCTAGTATACCATAATGGCTAGTGTGATGGCAATACATCAGGCGACAGTGATATCGCCGATTATGCCATAATTTGATGCAGGACCTGAAATAAGAGTTCATTTTTGGCACAACTCGGTGCACTATAACGTCTTTCGGTATCATCGTAAAAACGCCGCACGTGGATACCACTAAGATCGCCATCGAAGCCTCCCTCAAGTGACGATCATCGAATTCCCACCCCCATGCCTATTGATTCCTGAGGCGCGTGTGAATGGGGGCATGTGGTGTGAAGAGCACCATGCACACACCACACCACACCACACACGCAACGATCCCAGTGGCCCAAAAGACAAGTCAGGTCTCGACGTAGGTAGATTGCTCCTTCTGTTGCAGCTTTCGCCTCTACAATGCAATTAACTCGGGACATCTGACAATCAGTGGTTGAGCAAGGAAATTTAAGTCATCGGCCTTTATCTACCACCTCTATCTTTCAGCAATGTATAAGAACTCCGTGTAGGTTCAAATTACTTGGTTCTAAGATGGAGGTGGGTGTGGACGCACACGCGATTTTGGCCAATCGGGTAGCCGGATGGCGCCTTAACCGGGTTGATGAGCCTTTTTATGCCCCGAAGAGCGCACAAAGGGTGTGGAGCACACGTTTGTGCGCTGCTAAAATGACTCAGAATTGTGCACATGCAACCTGCAAAAGCGGTAATGAAATGTACCATGAAGCAAACGAGTGGGACCTTTACATGACTCGACATGGAAGAGCGGACGCCGATAATGAGGCATTCGTAAGTTTAGTTCCCGCCCATCCTGACAACTTGAATCCCACCCTACCTCCTCCCAAGCCCTTCGATGAAGATGCCTACCCTTGATTTAGATTGCTCCCGGGTGCTCATATCACCTTATCTTCTGAGTAATTTGAGTGTTGCATTGTGCTGATACACGGATGCAGGAAGCCACAGCCAAGATAAAGCCATGAAAAGATGTGGCTTGGCCTAGGGGCTGAACGCAATTGAAACGCCGACTGGTGAGACAAACCCCAAAGCTGAGAGGATCTTGATGTTGTGAGAAGTTGAGGACAAGTTGTTAAGCCTAGCACAAATTTCAATCCCACAACTGGATGGTCTGGCTGTGGCTCAGCTGGACAATGATAGCTACAGGGTAAACTTATGGCGAGACTGCTGGGGAGAGGGGAAGGGGAGTCACGAATCACGTCACAAAGCGATAGTAATTCCACCTCTAAGGTAAAGAATCAGTGGCGTGACTGAGCTACTGACGTAGTAAGATGGCCTGGCTTTGGTAACAGCAAATCAGGTCATGGATAGTTGGAGTGAATATTAACATTCAAGACTGCGACACACGCAGATAGAGCTCCCAAACAAAACGCGAACCTAGAGGCTCTCGTTGTTCCATTGTCCACGGACCTTTCCAACCATAATAACACCTACGTATGTGAAAAGGGGAAAGAGGAATAAACGTTCCGCGCCCGAACTACTACTTATTATAGTTATTCTTTCATATTCATCTAAATTTTCAAAATCATTAAGATAACTTATTTATGCGGAACCCCGATGACCAATCAATTGGACGGAATCGCGATCACGCTCCCTAAACTTCGTGTTTATTCAGCTTCAGCAAACTACAACCAATATGCTTACGAGCTGGAATAACAGTCACGACACTGCAGTGAAGGAAAGTGAAGTTCAACAAAGTTGCATCACCCAGTCTCTTATCAGCTCCAATTTGCTTGGAAATGAGAAGGCGACTATTATTGCACAAAGGAAGTGTGAATCAGAGAACCATAAGCTCGTCCTACAAAGGAACGAATTTCATAAACGTGAGATCAACAGGCAAGTGCCTACTTGTTCCCAGCATGGCATATCGCCGAAAACCTGAGCCAAGTCGACCTTTACACCATCACCGAGAGCAAAGCGTGCAGGGCAGAAGAGGCTAGACGAAGCCCGCCAAGCCTCAAGGACGCGACGGGCATCCCGAGAGGACTTGAACCAGGCGAAGGCATAACCCCTGGATGCGCCGGTAATGGGATGTTTCACCACCCGCACCAGGGGCCAGAGGGAAACGATGCCACCGCTACTGTTCTCCCGTTGCCACGGGGACCGATCGCGATTGCAGTGACGTTGATTGCGATGCCGACGGCTTCGATGCTCCTCTACTTCAGCCTCAGCTTCCTTTACCTTAGCAAGGAGACGGGAAAGCGCAGAACGCAGTTCCTCGTATTTCACACTCGGATGAAGGCGTCCGATAAAGAGAGAAACCTAAGTTGCCAAAACATTAACATTCAAGCGAGAGTAGAAAGGAAAAAAAATTCAAGGAGGGGAAAATGTGTTCTGCTGCGTAGTCTACTGCCACGCTTATTCCACCGTCTACACACTACGAGTAAAGCTTGGGCGTGGGAAAAAAATCTAGCATTGTGGCCAAACTGTACCAGAACAACCCGCTTCACTTTGTCATCGTTACGTAAGAGCATCTTGCTAGCCAAAGCGAGCCATCAAAGCGACAAATGCATCGTGAAGGAATGCGCTCACCGTTCCCGTAGAAATATTCGTCGCCTATACAATTTCATGACACGAAAAATTATGAAGCCGCGATCAGGCGTCCAGAATTAGATGTTGCATGCGCTGACTAGGTGGTCACGGGGATTACTGGCGTAATCGTGGACCAGGAACCACCACGGCCAGAATAGTCAACGTCATGTCTAAAAGGTGTATGGCAATCAAGTGTTCCGGTGTCAAGTAGTTGAGCGTTCCGCCATCGTACAGTGGTGTGATTGAAGTTATCTATGGATACGAGTGGAAATGTTATCACTACACGCTCTTGCATGCGCGTAGGCACTGTTGCTGCCTTCCATCTAAATTAATGGTGTCTGATGCGTCTGCGTTGCCTGCTAGTGCTCACAGCATGCCAAACCTGCCACTTGCCAATACCAAGCTGAAAGATTTGTTTTTTTTGCAAGGTAGAAATAAAACCTGATTGGTGCTTAATCTACAATGAGGAAAGCATGTGATGCTTTGCTACCCAGGTTTTGTGCTCTTCGATAGCAGAGAGAGAGAGAGCAAAAATCGCATGCCAAATTAACAGACGCCTGTTTCTGGCAATTAAAAAAAAAGTATTTAAAACTTATCCTAAATCGTGTTGTATTCTTTTGATCGCTATGACGACCGGGTGAGTGGGTGGGGACACAAGCACTCGATTTCAACTGGTTGAGTCAGAAGCGTTGTGAACCACGTATTTCAGGTTACACAAAATCGTTTTTTTTTTCCATAAAAAAACGGTTGCAATGATGATGGGGAAACTAAAAGCGGTCCCGACACTATTTGAAAACCAATCCATAGTCAACTACTTGAAAAAATCAGATTTATTTTGACTACAAACAAATAAAATGTGAGAAGGGATGGAAGGAATCGATGAGCACCGAGGCGTCAGAGAAGGGCTCTCTGTAGTAGATTGGGAAGCTTTGACTTCACGTGACGATGTGAGCTGACCTAGGCATTGGAGCCACAGTATTTTCGAATAACCACCAAAATACCTCTGTGCTGCTGTTAAGAGCTGTCACAGAAAAATTAAAACCACCATAGCTGTTTTGAGCATGCTAGCTAGGGAAGGAGTAACTGTTGTGACGCAATCTGGCTGTATCACACCCTCTACACGACGTGTTTATTTATGCGCAGGAATCGTTTAGAGACGCGAAGATTGAGGTAAGGCTTCACAAGTGGCATACCACATTCGGTCACTTTAAGGATACCACACCTTAGACTAGTCTTGCGGCCTACTTAAGATGAGTAATGGCAGTAGGAGTATACACGTTGTGCGAAGCAACAAAATACCACGACTTGAGCAACGGGAGTAGACACAGCCTTCGGCGAATGCATGCACTGGTTCGTAAACAAAACAATCGATGCACATAAGAAAGATAAACAAATCAGAAACAAAAATCACAACTAGGCAGCCCATCTGTCTTTTGGTTGACCTCACCACAAATACCACAATCCAAGTAGTTTGTGAATGTCGCCCCAAGCGGCAGACCACAGCGTTGCGACTGCTCAAAGCGCTATAAAACGAACCTAATTTCCATTTATAACTAATACCCTAATAATCAACCTTTGATTATACAACACCATTCCTAATATGTAGTAAATTACATATTCGTCACTTACTCTGTCGATATCATCCTCCTTTCTCCAGAGCTTGAAGACGTTTTCCGGGAAGGCAGCCTTAGACGGGCGATAGTGCGAGACCTGAGCGCTACAAACCGCTCTGTCATGCGGTGGAATACCGTCCCCCACTATGCCATCTATGCTCCCCGACTTTAGCGGATCGTAAAAGCCCAGGTCGAAGACGTAGGGACACCAACGATCCTAAAAGCGGAGGCAGTGCCTTCACCCCTTTTGATGGTGTGACGTGATTTATCCATCGCAACACCAAGCCGCCTACTTACGACCTTCACCCTAGCTAGGCGGACGGAAGCCGTGACAACACGCACCGCACGCAGCAACGAACCACTCGCAATAGAAGCACAAAACACGCAATCCGCAATAGGATTTTCTTGAAATATATTTCTTCAGTGCATGAGGTGATGGATAGTACAGTATGCATGCGTATGAACATAGCATTTAGCCGAGGTTTTATAAAGACGTCCGACCTACAGGCCTGCAGTTTCAATTCAGTGCATTGAAACAGCACCAAGAGGAGATTGGGATTAAGAGAAGGGAAGGGCGAAAGAGTGGAAGGAACCAACAAACCAGACAAGCACGCACACGTAACCTTGAAAGCGCGTTACAATATGGGTGTGAGTACACGTCACAAATAAGCCAGTGGGCAAAGTAGACATTTTTACAAGGGAGATAAGGTGGATATGAAGGAGAAATGTGCGACCATTCCGAACGTCTAATGCGTTGGCCTCGTGTGCATTGGTACCATGCCGTTAGGCCCTGGAGTACCAGACGGAGGCGCGCCCTGAGACTGCTGCTGGTTTTGAGCTGCGGCTGCTGCTGCAGCCATCGCCATACAAGGTTGACTGAAAAACGAGTACTGGCCTGATGCTTGCTGTGGATACAAAGCCTGAGGCTGCACGCCAGACGCAGCAGTCGGCACCTGCGGCTGCTGCGTGGACGACAGACCCGGAGCCTGCTGCTGAAGTTTACCACCCAATGACAAATCAGGCCCACCACCCGGCTTTGATGGCTGTTGCATTGGTGGGTTGTAAAAACCCTGAACGCCGCTTGCAGTATGTTTGTACGCCACTAAAAAGTTATTTTGCACATTTCCGCACTTACAATAGTTATAAAACCAAGATGCATAAAACGCGACGAGATGGCAAAGCATCGACGGATGAGAAGTGGGCTTACCGAGTACACAAAACGCAACTCTTAGAAAGCACGCCACGCTAGTGGTGTTAATAAGGCTGATTCCACAACCCTAGATAAAATTAACCATTTATGGTAATGGAGCTTAAGAATGCTGCGAGATAAAAGGTCCCACTGAATAGCACCTGAGATAAAATTCCAACATTAAACTCTTCCAACAAAGGAAACTCACTCTGCTTAGCTAAGTTTGAGTAGAATATGTCTCCAACTTCTTCGAAGTTAGGCTGCCTCAGACCTTGGTATCCGGTATAGTTAGCGGGCGAATTAATGGACTTCGGATACTGTTGTTGGTTTGATGGGTGAGAAAGGGGAGAACCCCCGTGACCCGGGCTTTGATTCTGCGAACCACCGGCCTGAGAGGGTTGTTGCTGACCCAAGTAGGCGTTTGGGTACCCATTCTATAAAAATGAGGTAATGCAAGAAGCAATCTTACCATTAGGACCATGCCACCGGAATACGGCAAAAACGTGATGCCAGAACCGACATTAGCCGTTGTCACTTGGTGCATAGGAACGGTAGATTTGGTCGATGAAATAACATCAGCAGAAGCATTGGGAAGGCTATTCTCGTTGGCAATAGTTTGGGTATGCTGAGGTGGATGTTGAGATTGCTGCATCTCAAACAGCATCCGCTGCTGTTGTAAAGCTTGAAAATGGTCCATCTCGAATAAATGAGGGGGCGCAGCAGGACCTGAACCACCAGGAAAGTTGAAAAGGGACATATTTGGTTGTAAGTGACTTAAGAGTGTCGGGAAACCAGGGTGCATGACAGGATGCAGTTGAGGTTGGGTCGTTGGTAGCGGCTGTTGACCTGCGTTTGGGGGCATAGCAGAGATCGTTTTGTTCATCTGAGGAGGTTGAGTTACAGTCTGTTTAGTTGGCTGCATGGAATAAGGCGCCGACACGACATTCTCTGACTGGGTTGAAGAAATAGATTGGGTGAAAGCGTCCGTCTTTCCAACTTGCATCTCCAGACTCACTTGTTTCACCGTTTGGGACAAATCCCCCAACAAATTGTAACTATACGACTTGGGACCTTCAAAGTTATTTACAGGGTGAGTTTGTGCACGACTGTGGGGCGAGCCATGGTCTTGAATCTTGGTGTAGGTTTCTTTATGAGCCGAAGCATTCTGCAACGGCGTGGGATAAGGTTGATCCGCTTGCAAATTCTGCTGTATGCTGCGAACTGACTGAAGCAGAGTATTCATCGCAGGTGAAAAATTGCACTGATCAGGCGGTTTAACCCCGTCCTGAGAATTGAAGTTCTGTTCGTTATTTAGGGATTTCCTCTTGGGGATTTGGTTGGACCTCGAAAGGTCAGCATCTTGATCCACCTTCACATCTGAACCAGAAATTCTTTCATGAAGGAGCACCTGTGCTTGAATAGCTCCATTCTCAAGTGCAGAAGTATTTCCCATCAAGGTGGTATTCCTAGCACCGGGTGCAAAGAAGACCGGCGTATTAGGAACATGAGAGGATGGAGGCGTTGAGCTCCTCGCATATTTTTTAAACAGCCTGTCCCTGACAATTTTCACTTGGTCTTCTGTTCGTGGGTTAGATGGCGCTCTTTCATTAACCTCTGCGTCTCCGGACTTAACCTTCACGCCCACATTCATTTCATCCTGTCCCCCTACTTCATCACTAAAAAAAACCGATGAACGGAATCGCGAAGACCTACCACTTTTCTGAAGAAGATTCAACTGACTCCCAGGTCAAAAGTTTTAAAAGCTCTGTGTCATCGTGAATATTGATCGGTATATTAGCAGCTGAATTGACAACCTCGATGGCCTCACCTTTCCACTCCCCACACTCGATATCCCAGTCTAAAAAGTACATATTTGCTTGGAGAAATTAATAAAAAACAAAAACATATACGGACGAGGCATTACTTTCAATGTAAGTAGCTTCTGAGTGAGGTGCTTTCTTGGCTACAGCGGTTTCGTTCGTGGGACCATTTCTACTCTGGCCGTTCGTAGCCTGCTTATTACTTCCCTTCCCATTATACAATTTCAAGGATTTCTAGAAACATATCCCAATATCTAAATTACCTGTGCTACGTTGTCCGAAAGCGCAGCAGCATTCTTGCAATTTAATGGTGAGGGAGAATCCCCCTTAGACCGATCAGCCCCTGCATTAGGCTTAGATTTCTGAAGAAAATAGGACTAGAGTGTAATTACCTGAACAGGGTGGCGTTTCGACTTTGATCGTTTCGTTATCGTGTCCTGCCAATCATTCGCATATTTCGCATCGATCAAATTCTCAATCGCTCGCTGAACATTGTTATCTGCATCATGCAGGGCCAAAATGGCTTCTTCCAAGTCACATTCTGTGCACTCTTGAATCTAAAAAAATAAACAACACCATCCTGTATCACCTGTTTGAGTTTGAACTGCTTGTCACCTTCATCGGAATTTGTGTTAAGCAACCTAGCAAGGTTAAGTTGCTCAGCAGTCGCTTTCGGTGCATTCAACCCCACCTTTACAACATTTGAATTTCCGTTATTTTTTGAAACATTTTGTTTGCCAAGTTGCTCGCTTCTAGCCATCGTATGTACAATATGTACAGAACCAATTACGTCAAAAGTTGTGAACCCAACTAAACGCGACGCCAAAAGTCCGGATAAGTGACCATTGAAACAAGAGTTTAGGGGGAGCAAAAACAAAAGTAATAATCGAGAGCAAATAGCGAAAGTTTTGCCACTCCCTTTTTGACTACGCAGCAAATCTTTATAACTGTCAAAGTCCTTAAAGAGCGAAGATTTAGTTCAACGCTAAACAAAAGAATACTTGCCCTTCATAGTGTTACGTTTTTTTCGCAACAATCACTACAAAATGCATTGATTTTATACGGTCAAAAACTTCATAAAGGGTCTTATTAGATTCAAGGGAAATATAATGATGACTACCTCTGTAATATATAAGTTATTTTTAACGCCTCGTTTTGCTAAATGGACCACTTAGGTTCGCCAGCATAGTATTATAGCATCCCGAGACTCCATGAAGACGAAAGGAGACACGATACTAGGGCAGAATACATATATTCAACACGGAGAAGGTGTCTGGGCTATTGGCATGGCCCAAAAGGCCAGCCCCACCCAGCAAGGTACAAGAAGGCTAATTCAAAGTAAAAAAGTGGAGCCTCACCAGAACCGAGGGATAAACCACTATCGTATTACAGTATCTTCGTTAAGTTGCCTGCCTCCAAGTAGCGGGCATAGATACCCTGCCCACGTATTTTATATTCATTCGTACTTAAGGAAGCTTTGGGACGCTACACCCCAGAAATCAGTGCAATTTTTTAGGTTTTATTCCTTCTAGGCTTTTTCTCTTAAATTGAAATGATTAGTGACTGCGAAATAGCTTTACTTTTTATGGTTTTGCTAATTTACAAATTTGTAGCTCTCCAATGCTACCAGATTTCGATTCGTCTTTGTGGACTGGTGACGTCCTTTCATTTGTGATGCTGATGTGAACTGACACCTCGAATTAAAATTAGATTTGAATCCATATATTCATGGATAAAACTTGATTCATTTTGTTCTACTTTCTCCAGTTTATTTATGATTAAAACAGATGTGGTGGACATGATTTCCTGGATCAAGAAGCCTGAGAGGAGAAGGACATCTTATGATGGAATGGTCTTGGGCAAGTTTGCAGAGGTTAAAGCAGATTTAAGTAAATGCTAAATTTCTTATTTTGAAAAGGTGAAACCCGATAAGGTATGTATACTTTTCACTTTTGTAATGCTGCGATTTCTTCATGTTGGCGCTTCACTGCTCGGGCACTCACGTTGTCGTGGTTTGTATTATGCTGGTGACGAGAGATTTGGGTCATGGTCAGTATGACCTCAGCTCTCTCCTATATTAATAGCATATGTTTTGCCCTGGTAACGTGACTCACCACTACTTCAGCAAAATCTCGTGGTACAATGTCCCTTTTGTGAAACGGTCACGCCAAGGAAATGCTGCGTCTGAAAATAAAATCAGGTATTTTCAGCTTTTTATTTTTGTCACGTAACAATCAGCCGCCCTTTTTATAACAAATAAGTTATGAAGGGAAAGCCTGTTATATGGCTAGGAATTGTGCTCCCACTAAACACAGAAATTGTAATGCGACTTTCAGCCATTACAGTCTCGTTTTATTTGGACGAAATAACTCTTGCACATATCTTTATCCTTCCACTCCTAGTGCAGATAAATCGTAATTTTTTGACGTAAGTTTTTTTTAAATCGGGAGTCTTCGTAGTCTTTTTGGTATAGGCAGGTGAACGGATGCTTCCAGGCTTAACACACTCCTTAGTTCTGCTTATAAGTAAAATTTTAAAAGAAAATTTTTTTACTTAGAAGCAAATCTTTTTGCTGCCTACCCTCCAGTTTTTTGCGTTTACGCTGTCAAGTTTTGGGTCACGTGATGCACAATAATAGATGCTATCTTCTGAAGTGTCCATGGCTTTAATTTTTTTTGTACTGTTTTAAAAGTTTGCAATAAAATTGCTCAGCATTCTTCTGGTTCACACACCTTACTAATTCTTTACATCGGCACTTTGTTTTAATATTCTATGAGCCTTCTAGAACCGACCTATCGCACTTAATTGCTAAGCTTCGCAACCATGTCGGGTGATGCTGTTTGCTCTTCGTAAGTGCATGTTCATGCTTGGCAGATTTTTAGACGCCACCCTGAGATCCTTTGGGCACAGCGGCCTAATTGCGTCTATCTTACAGTCGCTCTTTCTGATGTCAAGGATGAGGAGATTGACTTTAAATCCGAGTCTTTTCATTTCAAGTATGTTTGTCTAATCAAGCTAGCCTCACTTTTAGAGGAAGAGTGGACTCTCCAACACCCACGAATTACGAGCTCAAATTTGACTTCTACGCCGAAGTCGACCCCAAGAAGGCGGTTAGGCAGATCGGTGACCGGGTTATAACTTATTGCGTCGAGAAGAAGGAGTCTAGTGTTTGGCCTCGGCTCCTTAAGGACTCATCGAAGCAGCCTTGGTTAAAGACTGATTTTAGTAGATGGAAGGATCTGGATGATTCCGACTCGGACGGCGAGGGTGGCTTTGGTGGTTTCGGTGGGGCTGGAGGCAATTTCCAAGATATGCTCTCAATGATGGGAAATAAGGACTTGGGAGAGGAGGAGGAGGAGGAGGAAGATTCGGATGACGATGGTAAAGATTCCTTACTTGATCTTGATCTGTAGAACTCCCGGATCTTGAAGATCCTGCAAAGCCTAAGGCTGAGGAGGTGAATTCGTAATCCAGCTTTTATATCAACAGTCCGAAATTCCGGTACTACTTGGGCTCTGTGCTGTTTGTCTATGTATCAACTATTGTACATCATCGCACCGGCTTGTTTCCTAAGACGTTCCAATTTTGAATTTTCTTATTTTTACGGGTTTCCGCCAGTGTTGACTACTGGGATTTAAGCCACTGACTGGGGAGGTACTTTGGTTCCTCGAATGGTGTGCTCTAGTTTACTTCTGCGCGCTGGACAGTTGGATTGGTGGCCTGTAACACTACGCGGTGCTAGTGGTAGCATTTATTAGCCTATGCGGCTTTGCGGTGGTGCATGCAGCTTGGAGTGCCCAGGGGCTTAGTTCTGGTCGGGAAGGCGCGTGGGGGTCGCCAGCGCAGTGGTTAGAGGAAGTCTTCGTCCGTGATCTCCGCGGGGTCGCACAGATTCTTCACTTTCTGCTCGAATGCCGCTAATCGTTCGAGGAATTCCCACCTCGGGCGGAGTGCTAGATAGGCTTTCCGTAAGGTAGCCCAGGCTTCCTGCAACAAGAGAGTCAGAGGACTATGCTACTCCCCGAGCTCTTCCTCAAAAAGTTAGCAGTGGTAATCAAGTGCGTTTTCTCCCGGTCCTGTTCTTACCTGTATTCCAAGGGAAATCAGACGTATGGGCTCGTACCACCGTTCCGTGCCAGTGTTCCTGGCTTCAAAACGTCTAACCTTTCAACCTGATAAGGTTTCGGTGAATCAATGTTACCATCTGCTGTTGGCTGTGGAAACAAACTTGTTTGCTGACTTGTGGCACCTATCTGCACAGTTTACGGATGATCGACCGCTTAAAGTGACTGAATGTTACCTACCCCTATTGTGCAACTGAACTTTTGAGTTTGTAAGACATCAGCTTAACTCGTGTGGCAGTGGCAGGACAAATTTTCCAAATGAGGTAAAAGTAAACCTTACCTTGAGGCTTTTACCCTCGCCCGCAATGAGATAGGCCATTGCCAGTGTTGATCCCACTCTGCTGTACTCATTTGTCATTATGACCACCCGACCTCCACGATTCATTTGTGTGGCTGCGAGGCAAAGACAAAGTGATTCCAAGAATGGCAATCGATTTTCCCTTATTTAATATCTTAGCCAATGAAGCGCCATTACTCAACTCAGGTACAAGGTGGTCATCTAATCCAAGGGTATGATAAATTCAAGTAAGTCACTTCAATATCTGTGTAATCAAGTTTATTGTAACCTAATGATCCACAATTTTTGCCCGGAGTTTTTCTTTTCTAGATATTAATAGGTTACTTAACGATGATAGTTGCGCAGTCTGAGAGGCGAGGTTCAAGGGAACGCGTGGACGAAGGGTTCAAATAAACAATGACAAAAATGAGGTCAGGAATTTAGCCCAAGAGGTATAAACGACCTTACAATATAAATCAAAATTTTGTGATTAATCCCACTACTTCCATCTAGAACCCTAAGCCCCATAGTGAACACATGGGGTACTATCATGGATACGGCAGAGCAGCCCGCAATTTTATATGCGAGTAAAGTAAACGACTCCGAGGCTAAAATGGGCTGGACTGTGCTTAAGGGGATTGACGGTAAAGTCTCACACATACACAGAAATTTAAGTGCATCTTCAATTAACTTATCCAATGACTTAGGCTGAACTGGATAGCTGTCCGGATAGAAGGCTTCAAGCGGCTCCCCAGTTTCCTTTCTAAAAATAAGGGACATAAAGATTTTTAGTCATTGCATACAAATATGTAGGTGTCGATTAAACGAAAGCTTGCACTTCCTTTCATTTAAAACGAAAAACTATAACCTGAAACATAGAACCAAGTTGGCTAGGTTTGCCTAAAGTGGACGTTGATTGGCACCACAAAAAATGGCCGATTTCCTGGAAGTACTTCGCAGATTCGACTGTTAAATCCAATGGGAATCAGGTGTGGAATATGCTAGTCAAATGTAGCTTTTTCACCAATTATACACTAGATTAAATATAGGAAGAGACTGATGAGTTTGGGATGACTGAAGAATAAAAAGGCCGACAATCTTAGTTTGTACTCATGTAATAAGAAGAAGTGCTTTAGCACTTCGATATTATCGGGACAGCCAACAATTTTTCCCATTTTGGAGCAACCGAAAAAAACCCAAAAGATGTGAATGCACCTATGAATTTTTAACATGAATAAAAACATTAACGTATCACTCTGATTTACGTTGGACTGAGAGTTCTTGTGTCTCTGTAGACCTTACCTATGCTAGGCCACATGGCTTTCTGACCTACGTCAATGCTCTCCCAAGGACTTGATTAATAATAATCTTGCTTTTACACTAGTGTGTTTTTTGGGTTCTAGGGAGGGCTCGAGGCGCTGTACTACAGTCCCATATTTTCGATTTTGTCACCATACGTAAATGGGACTACCGTCAAGTCATCATGTGAAAACGAAGAATATCTATAGATATACAGAAGTAGATGAATACGACCGATCCAACATATTACAAATCATAGTTTAATGGTGGAAACTTAGAACCAATGGAAAAATAGGTGCATTTTTAAACAAATAAAGGGAGTCACAGATAAAACATCAAGTTCAGGGGGCAATGTTTGTCATTTGTTAGAATGCACAATATCAGCTGCAAAACATGGATAAAACACTTAAAAATTTAAGAAATGTCATACCTTTCAAGCGCCTTGGGGTAGCATACTATTTTTGCAGTTATATGAAGGTTCTCGACCACCGTTTTCGGAAGTGTGTGCATGGGCAAAGCCAAATACAAAAAATTATGCACAATCTCCAACGGGTAGTACTCAAGAAATTCAAGTTCCTAAACTTTTGAGTTTCTTAGGGAAACCAAACCCTTTGAAGGTAAAGAAGCTTATTCGTGCACATAAATGGATAATCTTTAGTGAACAGACGGAAGCCTCCTTATAAGTAAGTGAAACTTGAATGTTTGATAGCTCACCTCTTAAAATTCGTACAGTAGCAAACGTCTTATTAAGAACGAGGAATTTAATTATTCTGGATAGTCTATGCAATCTGTCACTATAAAGCCTTGTTGACAAACCTTCCATATATATCGAGATGAACAGAATCCTGGTCATAGATGCACACGTGCCACCTCATTTCAGGATGACAGTCATAAGGAAGAGAAAATTCTCCGTCCTCCTTCTGCAGTGGTTAGAAAAGGTGAGTATACTTCTCTGAGATGAAGAGCTCGTGAAATATGGGAAAGCTCATATCTTTCTCTCTCACGTACATCTATTCATGTAAACTAAACACAACGAACCCAAAAGCAAGATATTGTAGGGATCAAAAGTGAAAGATGTCAGGACTCCTTGATTGAGTAAGTTATAAAGAACTGATATATCCATAAAATCCCCCATTATGTATATTCGTGCAAGAACAATTTTGGACGCAAAAATATAACCATCTTTGACGCATTACAACAAGACTTTCTTAACTGAATTTTAACGTGTCCCATGCACATATTCTGAGTTCGTTTGTAGTCAGCATAAAATATTTATTGTTTAAACATTAATTCCTTTCCATAAACGACTCTTAACAAGTGAGAAAGATTTAGAACTGCTAGGCCCCTATAACTCAGCTTATGTGTATTTCGGAAAATCTAATTCTTTTACTCGCAGGTTCTTTTTTGGTTATTTTTAATTTGTCGTTTGTGCGCACTAAAGGCATTCTTCCAGCCGCTTTTGTTAAGTGCGTTCTGAAGGCCATTTTGAACCCGAACACGCTAGCATGCATGTGCCTCAACCAATGGTGAGGTCTGTGAGGGATGAGTACGACTTCGACTCCTCAGATGAAGAGGTAATTATTGTTTGTTGATTTTTATGAAAATTAGGACATTCGGAATACTGTTGGTAACGTTCCTATGCAATGGTACGAGTCCTTTCCCCATGTCGGCTACGACGCCTCTGGTCGTCCCATCATGCGTCCAACTGTCGGTCAACAGTCCTCTGATGCTATTTCAGACTTCCTCAAAACCAGTTCAACTGAACAGGGGGAACAAGATGCTGAGTGGCGAACAATCGTCGATCCCAAAACCGGTCAGTCTGTTGTGCTGAGCGATCGCGATCTGGAAATAGTCACACGTATGAGCGCAGGAAAGGGTGTACTTGGTGATAAGGAAGAGGATATTTGTCAACCATGGGAAGACTTTTTTTCGAATACTGTCCTTCAGATGCCTGTTACTGCCCACCCTCCTCAAAAGAGGTCATTTATTCCCTCTTTGCTGGATAGACGCAGGGTAATTTCTTGACTCATGTGCAAACCACTTTTTTCATTTCACCTTTCTTGATTTTTGACACTGGTAGGTCGGTCGTATTACACATGCAATAAAAATGGGTTGGATTCGACCTCGTCTTCCAGCCTGGGCATTGGAAGATGTAAATGATCCTGATCAAGTTCGACGCTACGCAATGTACATGAGCTCTGGCAAACCAGGCGCCTTCGATGATTATGATGAAGGGGAAATCTTAGGCTTTTCAGCCTCCTCGGTATCCAACTGTGTGATGCCTGATGTGTGGGCGGATCAGGATGAGGAGAACACCGAGCAGAACTCCTTTGCATGGCAGGCCGGTCTCCCGCCCAGTCTTCAGACTTACCGACCGCCACGTCCAAGGCCGTACATGCGACCAGCTGCAGAACCGCTTCCTGGCCACGCAGAATCCTACAACCCCCCACCGGAATTCTTGTTGTCCGATGAAGAAGTATGTTTTTTTCACCATATTCTCTTCCTATTCCTATGAGCGTATAATTTACCCATTTTTTGAGTTATTTTGCTTGATATATGATTTCTCATCTAATTCTCGTTCTTATTTTTCAATTGACGATGCCTTTTGCCTCTGGATATTAGATTGTTTTCACTAATTAAAGCCGGATTCAATTACTTTTCTCATTTTCTTGTTTATTACGCTCTAGAGATACATGGTCTAATCGAATTTACGCCGTATTTAGGGTAGAGTTGGGTGCCAAATACAGGTTTAGAGTCGTTTTTTTGCTCGCTCCTTCATGCTTTGTGATCACACAGAAATAGCATTTTGCAACTCGGCGTTACTTAGATATTTAGTTTACGACTTTTGTAACAATTGTTTTTTAGCAATACGCCAACTTACTTCACTTTCTGTTTTATCCGTAATGCTTGCGAGAATGCTATTTTATCTGCTCTAGTTCCTTTTAAGGTGCTTCTTAGCAAATAGTACTTTCTGTTGATTTAGTTTTTTTTGTTGGACCCACGCATGCCAAACACTACTAACGGCACAGCCAGTAGCATCCAAGCCCTCTCCTGCTACTTTACGACACAATGTCCTACAATAGTTCAGAAGCTGGTTTAAAGGACCTGACGAGATAACTTACCCCTTTGTTAATATGCAATGCAGCTTTATGTACAGCTAAATATCATCGTTGTTTTGGCCAATAATTTGTAGGGGGCCCAAATGTATTAGTATATTGTTTTGGGAGTTTGACTGTCACAAAAGCTGACAGTGGCCACCAGTCTTGCATCGATCGACGTCCGTAACCCACTTGATAGTTATCAGATAATTGTTCGTTGTGACTTTTAATACCTGCTTGATAGTTCATTTATCCTATCCTGTTTGAATACTTCAGTGTACATGTTTAATATTACCTTGAGGAAAGGTGAGTGGTGTGGAGTCATCTCTAGAGATACCACGACGCGTGCAGATCTAGAGGTGGCGTTGTTACTGGCGCCTAGAAGGCTAAGGGGGTGGTGGTTTAGTTGATGTTGGTTGAACTTGGGAATCATGTAGCTGTTGACTGAAAAGGCATGCGTTGTTAAATGTACATTCAAAGTAAATGTGGCTACTCTACGCAATTTTGTTACCTTGATCATTAGTGAGCGGTATCGTATTGTAGAATCACGGACACATTAACAAGATGTAGAGGCCTGTTAATAACCGCCATAAACTATCAAATATTTTACTTGCAGAATGGAGCTGGTGTAAATCACATGTAGTCCTACCTACCCGAAGACGTTCAAATCAATCAACTTCTTTATCTATCAGAAAGTTTGTCCATTTTATATTTGCTGGAGCCTTAATATCTGAAATTTCATGATTGGTGGCACACTGTAAGATTTTGAAAGCGCTAATGAAACATAGAACCCTATATCTCAATCATAACCGTGCAGCAAGGACTAAAGGTGAAAAACAGTAGAGACTGCGTAAGCCTTTAGCATACTATAAAGTGTCCGTGTCACCTCTCGAGATGGAGGTAGCTTCATTCGAATCCTATGCCATCAATAAGGTGGCCAAATCGCCAGGGTCTGAATAGGCCTGTATAGCTCAATATGTTACCAAAAGTAGTATTGTTCCTCAGGAGCGTCAGGTAATGAGAGCGTGGAGGGACAAGGTGAAAGACAACCAGGCTAGCAAGGTGCCGCCCATCATGCCCCGGCGGTTCGGATGTCTACGTCATGTGCCCTTCTCAGAGCGCTACCTGCGGGAGCGCGAGGAACGCATCAAGGACCTGGTCATGGCAGCGCGGGTGGAGAAGCAGCAGGTACACACCACCCCCGAGGCCCTTCTCCCTCAGATCCCCAGTCTTGCTGACCTTCGGCCCTACCCCTCCCATCTGGGTCTTGAATACAGGTAATATTGGATTCGTGTCATCGTCTTTACTTCCTCTTTCTCGTCTTTAGAGTGTGGTTTGGAGTCATTTTTCTGTACAATTTTTTGTGACTCGGGGTGAATTTTTTTTATTGATACTATTCGGAATTGTCTTTCATCTGAATGGGTGTAACTTCAGCACATCTGCATATGCATACACCTTTCAGGTCTGTTTTCGATAATTTAAAAGGAATTTTTTGCAGTTAATTTAGCGCAATCCTTATCAGGAGTCGCGTTAGATTTTGCAGCATTAAGTGTCCATAAGCGGTCCTATATCTCCACCTCATACAGTAAAATGCTATTCAGAAGTGGTTACTTTACTGACTTCATTCATGCGCATAAATGTGTTTTCAGTCACCCAGTCATTTGTTGACCTTACTTCTCTCTTGTTTCTGTCATCTGGTGAATTTCTTGAATAGGCAAATCTCTTGTAGTCTAAGGCCTTGCCATTCTCGATACTTTTGAGTACACCCACGGAAGTGTGATTGCTTGAACAATTGCTCTTTTCTCCTGTAAGATCACACAGTGGTCGGGTGACCGCCCTGTCCATCTCGCCGTGCGGCCAGTGGTTGGCCTCCGTGTCCCCGGTGGATGGGTGCCTGCGCATTTGGGAAACAGCCAGCAACTATTGTTTCCGATGCTACCGCCTCGCCCCCGCCCTCTCATCCAGTGGCATCAGGCCCGCTTTGGTCGCAGAGGGTCTGCTGAGGCAGAAGCCTCCGGCTGGGAAGACGGTGGAGGCGAAAGTGGGTTCGGATTCGGCGGATGTGGACGAGGAGAGACAGCTCTCTGCTCACGTCGCGTGGAATCCTAATCCCGAGTTGCGCCTAGTCGCCGCCGCCTTGTAGGTCCACTTAAACATATTATCCACCTTGTTGAATGAATTTTAGAAGTTTTTTTTTATTAGGTTTGGTGGCTTATCTGCTTCTGGTGATGCTCCCTCTTTTGTACCTACGTACACACTTTTTATGTGTAACTGCTGGAGATGCCTGGAACTCTAGGTGTAATGTGTTTGTTTCGAGTTCTAAAACTTTCCACGAGTTCCTGCTATCGAGTATTCTGGAGCATTCCACAGCGCTCTTGCTGAGTCCTCCTGAGTGGTCAATAATATTGCAGCTCTCAGCATGGCTAATGTCTCCAAGTGACGGCAAATACCAATGAAAATACTCAATAAATGAGAGGGATTAATTTGGAGGATATTTCACCACATTTTTGTTCACTCATATACAGCCGCCTGGAGATACGCTGTTTGGAGTTATTGGCATTCTACCGGATCCGTTCATGCTGACTTTTAAGTTCCATCTTTCAAATTTCCAGAAAACCACATTTAAAGTTGGTAGTGTGCTTGAATTGTTTGCACCTTCTTGGTGGGCGCTCATTTGGTTTTAACACAATGAAAGCTAAAATGCAGGAGTTACGATTATTTTCTTCATACCAAATTTTGACTTCCTGTGGGAATCATTTTAAGGGCAAATTTTTTGTCTTGACAGACTGACACTTTCGAAATCAGGAAGATGGGTAAATAAAATCATCATTTGAAGGTATTAGCTTTGGCCATTCCGGCTCGAGTGTCGCATCACTTGCATTCTTCCCGTCCTTTGATGTATCACCGTTTTGATCTTGATAAATTCGATTTTAGTGCTTCCTCAGAACTGATTTGAAGGCAGTTTTTTAGTCACTTAATCTCTCGTTCTTAATTTATCGCATATAACTTAGAACCATTGGCTTTGAAGGTCCCTGCAATCCTTTCCATAATTTCTTAACTACGTTTCTTTCTCTTAATAGTGGAAATAAGATATTCATTATCAACCCGGCCTTGGGTGATCGTGTGGTGGTGGAGAAGACGGATAAAATGCTTCACGAATGCTGGCAGGCTCATCTGATCGATGTTGAGGAGTCTAAGGCAAGTTATTTCGTTGTTTCACCGCCGCTTATCAACCTCCATGTTAGTCAGCACAGTCTGGCGGTTGAGATCACGTTTACCCCAATCCATGATTGCATTTGAAGCATTTAATGAAATGGATGCCATCATTTTTACGTACATTAATCACGACTGTCATCTTACATTCGGAGGAGGCGATTTTGGCTCAACTTAGACCATCAAATTTGAGGCTTGGTCCCTTCCAGGGTTACAAATGTTGATGTTTTGGCTTTGGTTCAGATCCAATGTCAGCGTGCATGACTTCCTCCTATTCATGATGCTGGGCCTTCATGTCATCCCATGTTGGCCTAGTGCAATTGCGCTCTTCTCTGATTACGCAACGGGACCCTTATTTCTCCACATGTTTATGATTATAGTTTGAACTACCAATGTCGAAACCACCAGAATGCAATGTTTTAGCGGCGATTTCATTTGACTATCTTACATAAAATTGGTAGAGCGAAGTGTTATCTCATTGTGTCCTCAAGCGATAAGGATAATGAAGGGTTCGGTGTAATTGTCTTCCTAGTTTATATTTGTGCAATACGCCTATTTGGATAAGTTTATAAAATTTCGGTTACTTTGAGGTACGTTGCTTCATCATAAAGGTCACCTTTTTCAACATCAAAGGGTGCTACTTTGGCTTTAATCCAACTTAAATGAATCATTTGGACTCTTACGGATAAAACGCCGTCTCACGTTTTAGCATTATGGGTCAACACAGACTTAATGGGGTGGAGTGGCACTTCAGAGATTTGCGAAAGTCCATAAAACGTCCGTCTATCCATTTTTTAGAAAGTCGACCTAGACGCCCTGGAAGAAGTTGGTGAGGAGGAGGAAGCCGAGGAAACAGATGGAGCACCGGCAAACAAAAAGCGGCGGACGGCAGGGGCGATGCACGGCCAAGTGGCGGTGTGGAGCTTCAAACCTCCTGTCCTCGCTAATGTCACCGCTATTAATGCCACTTTTGATGTCTCCAACACCTCTATTCAATGGGGGTCCAGTGACAGCAACTGTGGCGGTATAGCAGGCAAACACGCCACAAGGGGCACTTTCCTAACACGATCACTTTTACTCGAGTTGTCGCGAGTCTCCATCGAATTGCATCAGGCTGGTGTCTCCTCTACTTTTATTTCTCTCCAAAGTCTCTGCGTAGTAAATCCAACTTTTTCATGGAATAAGGGGAACGGAAGTGGTTTAACAAATTGCGGGGTGGAAATCTCCGTTTATCCAAAGTAGTCCAAGTTAATTGCTAATCACTATAAAACGGTTGTCAATAGGTGCAGGCACTTCGTCGTGTTTGGTGACTGAATTTACATGATTTCAAAAAAAGATTAAATGCATGAACATGTAAAATAAAAGAGTAGTTTAATGCGTTGTCAAAAAATGGGAAAATGACACCATTTGTTTGTCTACGTTTCTAACAATCTCCGGAATGTATTGCATGATATTTTGTGTAGACTTTTCCTCGGTAGCACAGCTCAACGCTCAAGCTGTTTGACTACAGAGCTGCAATGTTAGTTAAGGAGGTGGGAACTATCGTGGGGTGCCGAATGAGGCAAATTTAACGTCTTCAACATTCAATTTTAGTGCATTCCCTAAAAATATTCCATTTTAATTGAATAGGACGCGAAACGTGAGTGAATGCTGTTTTTGGATGTCAGTTATTATCACCTTCATCAAGAATCAAAATGCGAATCTGGTTCGAGGGAAATTTCATTAAGGAGCAGTTGTATTTGTTGTTGGGTAGATTTTCTAAGTCCAGTACGCTGCAGCATTCCCAGCCTATGGGCAAATTTGTCATTTATTTAATGGGAGAGAAGATCGGCCAAATGCGGAACCACTAAGTGGTGTACCTCTGTGTGGCAGGAATGCATCGACCTCTCGTGGCACCCAAAGGGCGACTACTTGCTGAGCCTAAGCATCTCGCCACTGTCGAGCGAGGCGCGGAGCCGGGCGGCGAACCGGGTACTGCTACATCGTGTCTCACGCATGGCCAGCCAGGCGCCCTTCGCCGCGGCCACTGGTGGGCTGGCGGAGGAGTGGCGCTCTGCCGCCTTTCACCCTGCCGGACGACCCACTCTCTTTGTCGCTGCCACTCGCTATGTCCACACCTTCGACCTTGTCGCTCAGAAGGAGCTGCCTCGTCTCAAACTCGATCTCTCCTCCGACCACATTGTTACTTTTGCTGTCCATCCCACGGGTAGGTTCCTCTCCTCTTTATCGTGCTGATATTTCTCCATTTTTAATGTCATATCCAGATCTATATTGTTGCCAAAATGGAGAAAAGAGGTGTTTTGCTTCATTCCAAATGGGACTTTTTCAAACAAATAATCTATCCTCTTCGCAAATTTGTGAACTGTTAAAATTAAATGCTAAAGGGAACTCCACTCATGCGTTTCCACATCTTACTTACCATTTTACATACCAAAGTGTCTATGGCACTATTTGCCTGGTGGTGAATGTAAGCTAAATACTCCTTTTCTTCAAATTCCCAGGTGAACACGTTATTGCGGCAACTAGTGACAGTCGGTTTATTTGGTTTGACGTCGAACTCGGCAATGTCCCCTTCAAAAAACTGCGGTAGGTAGTCCGCTGTCTGCTTTCTTACCATTCACTCACCCTAGCCCTCACTCCTATCCAACACGGGGCTGTCGTTTACACGTGTTTCAATCTACATGTATAATAGGTTGAATCACGGAACCGTTCGCAAAGTTCACGTCCACAGCCGCCGGCCCCTCGTCTCCGTCGCTCTGGATGATGGTTCGCTCTTCATCATCCACGGCAAAGTGTCGGAGTAAGTGCCAGGGTCTTACTCAGAATTCAAAACTGTTTGACTCGACTCGCGTCTTTTCATTCCTGTGCTTGTGTGGTTCTTCCCCTTTGCAGTGATCTTCTGTCAAAACCGGTCATCATTCCCATCCAACTGATCCGCACTGGCTTCCACAGCGTTTTCAGCTGCGTCTTTCATAGCCGCCTGCCGCACGTCTACGCTGGCGGTGAGTGCGGGACCATTCGACAGTTTGTGCCGTGGCACTAGACCCCTTTGCCTGCGGCCACGCATACGGGCCGTTTTCTCTGTGAACGAGGACATGCCCATGCTCCGTAAAGTTCTCTCTTGATTGCTTTAAACGTGGAGAGGAAGATGTTTAAATCTCGAATAGTATGGGGATTAGGTCATTCAATGTTGTAGTAGAGCGCGTATTTCATTCATCACATTGCTCGAAATCACTCTAAGCCTACTCAGTCTATCGTCAACAGAGAAGGTATGGATTTCAGCCGTATAATTCAAATCTGTCAATTTTGCTTACTCAATAGGGGTAGTTAACACTCGTGCAGATGTGTATTTATTTGCGTCGAGTCTTCAGTTTGCCACAACTTCGCAGTCATATCGGTGGGACGGCGACCCGCCGGTGGTACCTTTGTCACAAATTGACATTAAAACTCAGAGGTTAGTAAAATCATGCGCCAATCGCACCATAACGCCGTCAGTAATAGTTGGGCATCACAGCGATTCATTGGAAATTACAGACGGACCAACTTCGTGGGATTTTAACTTCGACTGCCACATTTGAGTTTAACTATCAAAACTGAAAACCGAGCATAAGGCATATTGTTCGCTTTTAGAGTGAGGCATGGCGCTACTTTTTGCCCTTGAATTAAATGCACCAAAGGGAGAGGTGTTTTAGGCGTTTGCTAGCATTTGAAATTGTTGCACATCTTGAGCAATCATTAGGATTGAACGAAGGTATTTTTCAGAATCTTGGGCAAGTTTAGGTGGTGTTCGTATGCAATGATGAGTAGTTCTGGAATGTGATATCCACATGGTTCACTTTTTGGCTATGGGGCGTGCTGGGGTGGCAATTGATCCTGAACCACTGGGGATTATCTGTCGACTGTTGTTTTAAATTCCCGCTTATCAGGCGATTACCGAATCCCCTATTTCAGATGTCGGACACATGAGGAAATGGTAGATAGTCATAAGTCAAGTCACTTTCGTTAGTTAGCAATGCCTCGTATGGCTCAAGCGGTGACCGATCAGGCCTTAATCGCGTATCGGATAATCTTTAATATGATTTATAGCTTCCACTCTATGCTTGAATTTTGCTACCACCAAGAGTTGGTAGTGTCAGCATTGCAAAAATCATCATTCGAAGGTGCGTGCAACATGAAGACAGGCAGATGGACAATATGCATTCTGTGTGGTGGTGTGCAGACTACGCTACACCACATGTGATGTGTTCGAACAAGCGAAGAAGTCAGGAATGGTAATAAGATCGGTCCTCACAAAAGGTGATGATCCAAAGCGTGATCGCTCTCTTCTGGTGAGCAATATGCTAAAGGCAGGTTAAGAGCATGATATGCACGCAAGTTTTTATGCCGCATTAATATCTCCTCTGGCAACGAAGTGATACAGTCATCTTCGGAGCAAACGACCGATGTTTTGGATCGTGTTATCGAAAGATTACGAAAGGGAAGGGAATTCTAGGCCATTGAAATTCATGGGCGTCTTTCGGGAAGTTGAGAATGAGATTTATGCACTCTGTGTAAGGTGGCATGATTTGCTAACATTTTCTCTATCGTCCTTGCTTCTCAAGTTAAGCAAACCTGGAGGGCACTTCTGCAACTTCCCTCTCTGGTTCTGGTAGAGCCGGCTCAAAGGTAAATCTTGAGGCCTCCTCGTCCCTGTGCCAAAAATTCCAGAACTGCTCTGAAGTCTAGCGAACTACGATTATTAGATGGAAGAGAGGTGACATTAGATGGGGAAAAGTCTTTACGCGGCTGAGTCGTGAGAATCTTTACGTGTCAAGAGGTGGTTTGCGGTATAATCCTTTCCACGCACGTCAAGGCTATCCTGAGTCTTCCAGAGGGTGTCTTCTCCACCCACCAGGGTGGCAAAGCTGCAGTGGCTTTTCTGCCACAGGATAAGCGTCGGTGTTACCTGCAATCTCCAATTTGAAACTTCGGTAATATCTATCGATAAATTCGCCTATAATGAGAGAAAAGAGTTTTGAAAGTTGCTTTATGAGGTCCAAACAACACTTTTGACTCCGCAACTTGGCGATTACTCTTCGAAGACTGGTACAAACTGCTCGGACTGAATTGTCCCCCAAGCAATGGATAATGCGTTTAGACACAGAAACGTTCGGGAACACTCCCACTCGCAAATTAGTATTCGATTGTTAGCATGTAGCAGATTTGACACTGAATTCAAAGGAGCCGAGCTACACTATTTCGTCAAATGAGATGACAGTGACATGAGACTGCACAAAGCGCTTGAGGCTTTGGTCATCACCGACCGGTCAGACAGAAGTTGAAAACGGTGAGGGATATAGCCAGATCAGTGGGTCGTTGGTACGAAGAATTTCAACGCTGTGATTTCATCGTAAAAAGCGGAAATTGAACGCGGTAATCCGATTGTCTGATCTCGCAAAAACATCTAAAAAAGTGACAGGAATTTGATAAATAGCATATTCCTAACTGGTAGGAAACTGTGAAGTGTCAATCGCCAATACGACTCTAGTGCATGAAGGATTTCTTGCGTTGCTTACAAACCAACACTAAAAGAGGTGCTATAGTCAGGCTAGACGTATACGGCAGGAGGCGTCGAAACCTGCCCTAGAGGATGTGGTTTTCATATCACCAAGATTGAATCGGACCACTTAAGCGCTTAGTAAATCAAGGTTCATTAATATAGATAGTCCCTAAAGAAGGGGAGACGCGAGTGTTAGGGTCCTCGGGCACAAGGTGGGGGTAGCCTTTGGCCACGTAAGACCGGATCTACATTGATTGTAGGGGATCCACTACAGCACTTCAGTTTATATCTATGGGTGGAGGTAGGGAAAGGGGAATGTGAGGGTCAATAATGTTACCATTGGACCCTTATAAGCGCATATTCTTAATTGTTGATTGCCTTACGAATATGGGCTTAACAAAATCTGTAAAGACCCGAAACCAATGGATCCATCAACACGATGCCCTCCAGACTGTGCATAGTGTTCAAGCTTTTAACTTCTCGGGTCACACTTTCTACGTTACCGTGCAGCCACTGCGAGATCAGACAGACCCACCGCATTGAGTTTTGAAGAGGCATAAGAAAGATTTGGACTTAAGGGTATTTACTAAGGACCACAAGACTTAAGTTTGTGCCCGGACAGGCCGCTCTTCTTCTGTAAAGCTAGAATCTGTTTATTAGTCGGCGTCTTAATTTAAAATGCTTACTGATCATGAAGTCAGACTCCCAATTAATGATGTATCGAATTAAAGATATTTTGGCTACGTACTGCATCCAGGCTAGCCGTATTGCAGAAAAAAGGCATATTATGACGTACAGCTCGCCTAGTGGTCAATAAGAGGGGGAACATAGAGCAGTACTAGAGCCCCCTCCTGTCCCCTAAGGTACATCTTAAGCGCCACTACACTTAGAGCAAAAATGAATTTCGACTGATATGGGCCGTTTTGCCAAACTCGGTCTGCAAGATTAACTGCCATTCATCAACATAAAGTACATGCCTATAAAGTGTAATACGTGTCTAATACGAGGATGAGGTTCATAAGTTGAAGACGAAAAATCAGCCAACGCTTTATGAAACAATACATAATGAGAGTGCCGAAGACGGTGCTAAGAAACCCATACATAATAAGGCTTGGTTGACTACACCATTTAAGTAACAAGCTGCCTATTTCGATGCAAGAGTTGGCCAGGTTGACATCGCCGATCTCCAGAGAGGTTGAGAGGCTAAGCTTCACCTGAGACCGTTACTGCTTTATAATCTTCTTCTTGAACAACACGTTGTGTTTTCAATAAATCAGTCTTCGTAGCCAAGGTGTGTTATAGCTTAAGTAGATGCGTGGACTGGCTGGGTTTTTGCGCCGGGCGATTGAGGGCTCACTATAAGTGTAGTGCGCACGCGGAGCTAAAATGCGTCAAAGATAAACCGCGGTAATGTCGTCCTTTTTAGCGCATCACTATTTTGAAATGGATTTGACAACTAATTTGTTTTACTTCATCCACCCGAAACGAAGTGGGGTTGCCGTGCCGTTAAACTGCTTTTGACTAGTAGCTTGAAATGCTGCAATACGGTTTTTGTCATAACGGCAAATAATAAGGGAGATTCCGAGCAGTACGTGTTTTACTGTTGCGTGACTGCAAATTATTGAAATAGGCGCGGACTACGAGCTTGTGCGTATTATGGACGACTTCGCTTCTCCCGATTCTACCAATCCCCACCCTAGGTGCATCCGTTATGACCCGAAAAAACTCAAAATCATTTCGGGTGGGGTGTCGTCAAGACAGGTTGCTACGTCACCGCCTCAGTAAGCTGTATTATCACCGATGCTTATGATAAAGGAGTTCAAAAAAATGGAATCTAACGGATTTTGACATTGGGAAGAATTTGGGTAAAGGTCGGTTTGGTTCTGTGTACCTTGTGAGAGAGAAAAAGAGCCGATTTATCTTATGTCTTAAAGTAAGTACTGTACGCGACTCGATTTTATCCTTAGATTATGTTTAGATTACACTTTTCAACTTTTGAAACAATGCAAAGACTGCTAAGAGAGATCGAAATTCAATCTCACCTTAAGTAGGATTTTCCTCCTTTTTAACTCCAGACATTCTAACATCATCCGCCTGTACGGCTACTTCTACGACGTTAAACGTGTTTACGCCATGTTAGAGTATGCACCTCGAGGCGAACTGTCAAAAGATATGCAGAAGTTCAACTTTACTCATGCTCGATCTGCCACGGTTAGTTTATTAAGAGGAATGGCGTTATTTTTTACCAAAATAGTACATTTATCAGTTGGCGCACGCTCTTGATTACTGTCACAACCGTGGCGTTATCCATCGTGACATCAATCCTTCAAACATCTTGCTGAGTGTAAGTGGGGAATTAAAGGTCGGTGATTTTGGTTGTGCGGTCCACAGCCCAGGTTCTAGGTAGGTCCTCCTTATCTCATACCTACTCCCATTAAGGCGTACTGCTGTTTGGGGCACACTGTCCTACCTCGCACCAGAAATGACCTCCATGGACTCGATGCATGATTCCAAATGTGATGTGTGGAGTCTTGGTGTTACAGCTTATGAGATGCTGTGTAGAAGAGTTCCTTTCAAGAAGGCGTCTGAGGAAGAGACTTTGCTTGCTATCCAAAATGATAAAATCGACTTTAGTTTTATAGACTGCGAGGAGGCCATTCGTTTCCTAAAGCGAGTAAGTCTTTTTAATCTACTTGTGATTGAAAAATCGACCTTTTCCTATTTGGGCTTGAAATTTTCTTTGGGACTGGTGTTCTTGCTTTGGGGGGTCCATACGATGGTTTTGGGATCCAGAAACCGTAGATTTGCATCGATGGTAACTACTTTCTCATGACATTTTCTGATATTTTTTCCACTTAATTTCTGAAAGAAGTATCGTATTACCTTCTTGATGCTCTCAAAATAAGTTGGAAACATCACCAAGAATGCATATTTGTTCTTGTGACTCATGTGGACTTCGTTTTCTTTTTCTTGATGAACATGACGAAGTTGGCTCTGTGCATGCTTTCAAGGGTGTCCCATACCGATTTTGGGCTGTCCCAGTGATCTAATCACCTTTCTTATTACAGGTCTTTAGTTGAATCAGCCCTCTAAACTTCTGTCAGAGGAATGACTGTTCTGCCCTCCCTGATAAAGTTGGAATTGATTTTACGCTTCTATTTACTGTTTGAGCAATTAACTGCAGTTTTATCGACGAGGCGTTCTTTCACTTCTTTGTTGCTTATTCATTATTCTTTTCTCACAATCTTTTAGTCTCGCCTCCTCCCAAGTGGCTTCCGGCCTCACTCACTCACTTTTCCAGCAGACATTAACCACATCTGTCTCATTCTTTCATTTCTTGACTGTTTCTGCCACGCGACGTGCCAAATTCCCCAGTTTGCCCGTAGGCCATCCACTTCAAGATCCTTCGTGAAACATGCGCCAATATAGTGTTTAGAGGACTACTGTGGTTCTCTCAGAACCAGTCCACATTGTCTTAGTGTTGATTGTGGGTACCAAACCTCCTCTTGGATGTGATAGGTGTTGGAAAGGAACGCAACGGCACGGATCACGGCCGCAGAGGTGATCCAGGACCCTTGGGTACGTCTGCACGCCGAGGCTTCTCTCACTCAGTGCCGCGCCGCCCTCGAGGACTGGGAGGCGGCCAGGCGCGCCACAGCCACAACTTTCGCGTCAGCCTGCACCTCCGCCTCCACCCCCGGCTCGACAAGAACTTAACACCCTCCCCACCTCCGTTCTTTCAATTACTCACTCGCCCGCCCGCTCTGTCTCCGGTGCAGCCTTGTTCTTCCTGTGCGTATTTATGCGCACCCTCATCTCCAAAATTGGAATGGATTTTTATATGCATATTTAATGAAAAACAGTGAGGTAAATAGATGTATATATTTGTCACTCCAATGCTTTCAACTTTTTGGGTTGCGGTGAGGCAACCGCCTCGTCGGCATTGCAGTTCTTCGCACTCCGTGGGGGGCGAGCTTTGGGTCCCCAGTTGGGCTGAGGGTTTATTTGGTATCTGAAATGCGAAGAGGTGCCCTTCAACAACTTTGTGATCCAGTAAAATATTTAGCTTCAATGCAGTAGAAACGAATGCGGAGAAGTGGTGTCAATTTAAATCTATTTCGTGACCGAGGATGGGGCTCTTGAGCAGCCGTGGAAACACCAGTGGAGCATAATGCCGCCAGACCAAAGTTCCTGTATTGATTGGAACTTCCGTGCACCCATGGCTGAATCCACCAGATACTCGTGCATGCATGCCCTAGTCGCTCAAACAAAAAAGACTGGTATACCTCTGGAAGTCTACAATTATTCACGCAACTTAAGTCAAGGGCTAGAAGGCTTCGAGGTGTTTCATTTTGCTAGGACTCCCTAAGTAACAATACGTTATTCTCAGGGGCTGGTTATTTACAGTGGATGAATTCTGAGAGAAGAGCTAGTTTTAGTTGTAATTTTATGTGCCAGAACCAAGTACTTAGACCTCAAGGCTTTGACATGTAAAATTAGTTCTTTACAGAAGGTTCATGTGGTCGTAAATACTCCAGTAAGTGACTCACAAGAGACGACGTGATATTCCGGAAAATTGGGTCGATGTTAATGCATAAGCTTCGCAGAACATAAACGGGAAGGACACAGTTTGTCAATCAAGCATTGTCGACTGTGAAGACACTCAGATAAGTTGTGACAAGTGGGATTAGTGGCGGAGACTAAATTTGGCCTACGAAAATAGGCTATAGAAATTAGTCAAGTAAAACTGATGACTTAATTCGATGCATGTTTCAAGCCTTCCACGTACTATGGCTATCTACAAAGCAAGAGTAGGCTGGTTATTTATGCTGCAACTTGCCTCAAAAGTCCACTAGCCCGCGAGGGAGGATTGGCGTCAGGATGGGGATCAAAAGAGATCGCTGGGTTGGGTGGACGCGACATCAGTCTGTCGACAACGCGAAGAGCCGCCTCGCTGGGTGGGTGCTTCCTGCCACACTTGTTTTGTTTCTTCGACTCCGTTGTCTTTTCATCATCCCCTATCTCAACATTGTCCCCTTCCCTCGGTGGTGGTGGTGTTGGAGATCTCAAACGTTTTTGAGCCCTTACCTCAGCTTCGTGCTTCCGCTTCCACGCACACATCACGTCCCAAATGAAGGACATCGGCGCATCCGTCTTGATGGAACTCAGCGCCGCATGGGAGAAGGAGACGCGGTAACCGGCATTGAGAAGTGCCGATCTAGAATGAAAAGTGCTTCGTTTACAGGTAAATTACATCGTTCAAAGTTGACAAAAAACTTCCACGAATCTTCTTCTAGCAAAGTAAGAGCTCATAAGACTTCGCCACAAATTTCATTAGAAATGGAAATTAATTGGTGTAGCAGTTATCAGATTGCATAGGTGCGACAAACTTCCCTAAACCGAGAGCTAACAAAGCCCAGGTTCCAGGATTAGACACCCATTCACTAAAACATCCTTAAATGACATCATTGTACTACATATAACAAGAGGCCGGCGTGGAAAAGATTACCATTTGCCCAGACCGGCTGACTAGTGTGTGCAAAGGTACATCAAGGAGCCAGATAAAGCATACCTTAGACCTGGAATGTATAAACAAAAACGTTGCATTGTTTTACCTCCTTCGGCAATACTTCATTCCACTTTTTCCCCAGACCACCACGACTACCTAATTTCCTAGTAAACCCTGTCAATGCGCCTACGTGGTACACAACAGGGCACAAAGAAGGCCGTGGCGACTGCCAATTTTGGCGTTGAAGACAAAAGGAAACACTCATAATAGAGGTAAAAGATATTAAAAAATCAACTCATGTTATGGTTGGACTTTGTTTTTAAATATTAATGAATAGGATACTTTTCATTCAGATATTTCGCTCAGCGCAAACTAATCAGATACAGGGAAAAGAAAATTAACAATTGATTCCTTTCTCCAATCCCATTAAAGAAAGCTGGTAATGAGTAAGAACTTAAGAAGATTTTTAGTAAAAAAAATAGACTAAGCGTACTGGGAACGCAAAATGAGGAATGCCGTAAATCTTGCAGCGCACCTCATCCCACGCGCCCAAGAAGACAACGAGGGTAGGAGGAGGAGTTTTTATGATCCAAAAGGGCGAAAACGGCCATAACGACCAAAGCTTGAGAGTTCACGATCATGCAAATGAAGAAGACTGGCTACGATATCTGCGCAACGCTGATTCACTAGTGTCGGTAACGGTTTGATTCAATGATGACCTCTCACGCCATTTCAAGTTAAATTGCTTTTGATCTTTCATTGAAATTTGTTTAAATAAACAATTCTTCCCACTTCTGAAAGGCACTTTCAAGTAACTACAGTTTTAGAACACACGTTAAGTTTCATGCTGTAGGATAAATCACAAAGGGAACGACAAATAGTTGCCATTATTACGTTCATTACCCGTGTCACATATATGTGACATCTCCTCCAAATTTCGACTCCAGAATGTACTCGTTAGGTATTGTGTCCGTCTTCACCTCCTGGTCATGTTTGCACTTGTCATTCCCTTTGGTATGGTGGTAGAAATACCTCTTAGTAAGAGGACTTGATTTGCGTTATGCTTTGGAGGTCGTCTGATGCTTTTGCCGATAGGAGGTCGTTAAAAGTCCTCAATTTGCGGAACACAGTCGAGAATACTTAGTCATTATCAGTTGACCAGACGGAATGGAGAGTCATAATTTGCGTACGGACTTGATCATAGGTTCCCAAAAACCACCATGACAGTTCATTTCGACAGTGCAAAGATCTACTTACATCTTCCGCCTCTAGGGTTTGCCTTTTATGGCCTCGGCACCACAAAACTTTGGATCCTTGTCCCAATAGACTACTCTAGGGTATCGTCTCTTTTCGACAAGTTTCAAGAGCGCTGAAAAATGACCTACCTTCAAGTGCACTGCCCTCATAGATAGCAAATGAAGAAGCCCTCCATAACTTTTCGCCACTCCTCTGCCACGCCTTGCCGATAGTGGTCCTAAGTGATCTACACCGACAGCAATGAGCGTCAAGAGTTTATTGAACTGAATTTTATCTGACTGCTGGCCTGGAAGTGCCAGCGCCTGCAGCAAAAGAATCCGCGCAGAGCATGGCGTATGAACTCTGGGCCATAAAACGGCAAAGATCTTAGAAAACGCTTAAAGCTTGAGGTTCGAGAGGAAAGAATCGATGCTCCGACCTCGAATGCTCTTGCGTTACCCTTAAGCGATTGGCAAAAAAGGTCTTGAAGTGCGTAGTCGATATTTCATGTAAACTACAACATAGTAGATTAGTCCATCCAGGTGATCACTGAATGAGCAGATGTGAAAAGATCCACCTTGAAGAAAGCAACGAGCTTAACGGACATGGCTGTGGGGAGCTCTAAATGCGAAGTACTAGCCACCTTCAGCGATGTCACACCCAAATTAGTCAAAAGTTATGAGCAGCGGACCTATCCGAGATCGCTGTGAGACGAAGGTGGGGTACAGAACCATAGCTGACCTCTGATGTATCATTAAATCCGTAAAGTCCTACCCTCAATTCTGACCTCCAACCTGCAGAGTATAGGCGACGCACAACCTGGATGCTCGTTTTAGCTTTTTGAATTCGAAACCAATCATTCAAAAGAATATTCTCATCTTACGTCATTCTGTATTGCTAATTGGCTTTCCTCCAAGAGCGGTCTTGCACAAGTAGCTTTGCGGGAGTACACTGGGAGCTAATACTCCCATGGAGTCGTTTAGTGAAGCAACGCAGATGCCAGACCTCCCCTAGCGGGTTTGCCATCCCAACGCGTGATGACAGAGATGAACCCGTCTAACCTGTTGTTTCACTCAAATCCTGGAGTCTGTTTGGTATCTAGGGTCTAATGACCGAGGCAATAACAACTCTTTTGCTTACAGTGAGTCTACCAAAGCATGGTTGAAGAAATTTGGCAAATTTGAACCGCCACGTGACAGTTTCTTCAGTCGAAGATGCCCAGACCCCTAAAGCACTGAGAAGCCAACTCACAAACCAATTATCAAAGTAGAAGGTTCTTTTTTTTTCAGGGCGAACATCCGGATATCACGTTCGGCTATATGTTACTCAGCGATTCGCTCCAAGGCCGGAATGGCGCAGTGGACTTTTCTTCTTCAAACCCTTTTAACTTCTCATCATTTACAGCTGCGCTGGGTTTTAAAGCAACACCTAGCTTTAGTTTGCGTATGTTGATATGAACTAGCTTTAGCCGGCTTTCCAGATGGTTTTCGACATTAAGGCAGTGAAAGAAGCAATCCTGCGATTGCCTATCCTACTACTGCCCGTATACCCTTCAGGATGAAGAGTTAGGGACGACAATGGTGTTACATCATTGGCACTACTGAGTCAACTAACGACTTGGTTAGCTTTGTGTTGTTACATGTAGGATCTTACGGTTCAAGGTAGGAGCTTAATCTCACGAGCTTAAACGGACGATGTGGCCAGGACATGGAATTAGACAAAACAATCCAAATGGAAAACTTTGCTTATTTTGTATACTAACTAGGTAAGCAAACCAATCTCACGGAGCATGTGCCATACCGTGATGTAAGGTGGAGCAATAACAGTAGCAAAGTGGGAAAAATGGAAAGAAAGAATTCACAAACAATGAGCGTCAGCTTGCAATTTGTATGGAATCCCTCCCCCATTAAACTTTGGGAAGAAATAAGACTATAGGAAAAATCCTCCACTGTAAATTCACTACTGCATTTCACTGTATTCACTAATTCTGTCGGTTGATGGATTAAATTGGTATTGCCAGATCATAAAAAGTATTATGAACGTCTAGTGCTTATAAAAAAGCACATAAAATCCTTTGAGAGGTGAGCGTGATTTTCTTGCGTCTGCTAAATGTAAGTCCCTTTGCGAAACGTCTCTATCAGGTCGCATATTAGTTCAATGCAAGGTACTTGTGTTACCAGGATGGGGTTTACGAGCAAAAAAGAATCCAGAATATGGTGTAGCTCATCTCTGGCTTTTTCAGGCCCCAAAAAACAAAGTGCCCCAACCACCCGCATCAACTGCCGAGTGGCAAGGATCGGGTGAGAAAACTAGTCAGAAAGTGGGATTGCCCAAGGAAAGCATGAGGAAATCAAGACTATAAGCGCTCAATTGAATTACATGTAATACTCAATATTGTTATTTTAGCAACCATAGGTGGGTTAGTCGTCAAAAATACCACTGTAAAACCAATGCTCTTTCGACGAAAAGCCTCTAAAAGCGTACCATCTTTATTTATTCAACTGGTTGCCTTAATTTCGCAAGCACTTAAGGCTTCTCCTTCGTACTTCCAATGGGCGAAATGGCCTCTAGGCCATGCCAGCAGCTCTCCGGCCCTTCTGCACGTCGGCAATACATATTCCGCCCAAGCATGACGGCTCCTTTTGACTTCAGAGAAGACTCGGGGCAATACACTGGCTGTGGCGGAAGATGCATCCAATCCTACAGGCCAACTATCCCGACTTCTATTACCATATGATCAAGTTTAACGCAATGGAAGAATGGCATATGCTGCAGATGAGAGAATCTGTGACTACCTCCAACATAAGGGTTGAAAATGACGTCTACCTTCGACGTCAATCCCAGTCCCGCACTCTGCAGGAATGCTATTCACAACTAAACCGACACTAACCTTGGCCGTGAACCATTCGAAAAAGGTCGTTAAGGTGATACCTACGGTACCTGTATAACGATATCAATTAAGTGAACACGTGATACCTCCTCCACCTCTCTACTAGCTGGCCAGAATCCAGATAGATATGTGGCTGGGTGGCACTGAAGTGAGAATGAAGTTGCAAGGAGGAATGGAGGCAAAACTTCATCCTCACGAAGCTATTTTAAACTCCGTCCTTTATTAAGTGACTGCTTTTAGACTAGTGATCTTACGACTAACGAGGAACCTATGCGATAACCTGCACCTTCCCCTTCCCTCAATATAGTTCCCAAAGAGGACAAAACTCTAGATCCAGTGGAACTATCAAGAGAGATCAGTAACGATGTGGTCAACTATATTCCTAATTTTACGCAAATTCGATGACTGGCGCAGGTGGTTCGTAGTTGCTTGCCTCACAACACCGGCCACGTTGCGATAGCCAGCGCGAGCGGTTAACTGACCAAGAGAAGCGCTGAGGAAGATGCTCAAAAGGAGAGGGAGCTATGTAATACTTTGCTTATTTATTTAACTCTCCATTTTGGTTTCACGGGCGCTTAAGGCTCCGGTTTTGTACCTCTGCTGTGGGGCATGGACTTCAGGTTATGCTGGTACCCCCAAGCCCTTCTGTTCGAAGGGGAAACATATTCTATCCAAGCATCGGGGCTTCCTTCGACTTCAATATGGCAATAAGCCGAGGCTACTTTTGGATGAATTTTGTTCACTTTTGTGTCCGCAAAGCACGAAGTTGGCCTTTCCAGAGACATTAATTGGACTTAAAAGAAATTCCATTTATGTAGCTATAAGTATAGCAACAAGCACTGGTTATACCGATTACCTTTATGCCCATCATAGCGCCCGGATACACGAAGGACTACCTAGAATTCAAAAACAACGTCCAAAAGCGTATTTACAATTAGCAAATCTTTAAGGTCGCAAAAGAAATTAGTACCAACCTAGTTAAAGAAATCAGAGAAAATACCTCACCAATAACGCATGAAGATGACTCTAGTGATTTCAATGACAGCACAACCTTTCGCGAATATGGAAGCATTCCATTGATTGTTGGCGAAGAATTGCTTGTGGAACATGGGCATCCCAGGAATTCATGGTGAAATTGCCGCATTTAATAATATAGACAAGTTTTAAATCAAAAATCTGTTTCTAAGGCAGCACAGCTTACTTGTGCACACTTTCTCCGATAGATTGTCTATGATGTAAAAGGCGATTTACGCAGCTGGCAACACGAAAAATATTTCCCTTTGGTTAGCATTTCCCCAACGCGCGTTGTTGGGGGCGTCTATTTATAGCACGAAGTATGGCTATCATTGGTCTGATAAATCTTAGAAAACAAAATAAGCTCTTTTTGCGGAATCTTTCCTCGAAAATCTCATTCACACACCCAACATTAATGGCACGGTTCATTCCAAACTGGATGCAACATAGCGAGAATTCTAGCGAGTCACTTACTCTGTACATGAAAGACAGAGACTCAAGAAACCATTAATCTTTGCAGAAGCTATCGTAGACAGCATAAGTAAGTTTTTTTTTCAGACTTGTGCAAGCGAAACAAAAGAAAAATGTTCATTTTGCAAAAGCCATGTTTTTAAGTTAAAAATTATTGCCCCAAAATGGACAACATCTTAATTCCGAAAAAATTGCGCTTTCTTTTAAGAAACAACCTCTCTCCAGGTCGCATATTCTTCTTTCTTCAGCCCTCTGAGTGCTGCGAAAAGGAGACTGTTAGAAAAACTTGCACAACAGCTCCCAACATATGGAAAGCAACAATTGGTTTGAGTTGATTTAACTCATGTATAATTCAAAGTACACTACACCCTTCGAAACGAAAGTACAGAGATCCTAGGGTTGAATCGTGAGAAAGGCTCATTATTGTTTTATTACGGCAAAATGCAATAAAATTGTAAATTACAGAAGAACTAGACAATTTTAATTGTCACTAAGTAGTGTCGGACTCAGGGTAATTTAGGACATCACTCCTCAGGGATTTACTCGGAAAGTGGTCGTGATGAATAAACAAATTTAAATGAAATTTGAGGTAAAGTTGTTAAGTTCCGAATCAGTTTGGACGTTCACAGTAAAGCACAAAAAAAGCAAACACATTTCGTGAGAACTTTTTAATACGCTTGCTACCAGGGCTTGTTCCTTGGGGAATTGGAACTTCACGGCCCGGATGCTTTGCACTTGCACAACCGAATCAAACGGCTCAAATGCGGTGAGAAAGTGAAGTTGCCTTCTGCCCTAAATTCAACCACTCAGCTGGGTTTGGTGCAATCACAGCCATCACAAACCCAAGGAGCACAGGTAGCACGGCTATGACGCTAAGCTGCGGTAAGAAAATCTGGACTGCAGGTATACAGGGCAACGGATGACCACATTCTATAAGAATAGTTTACCATAACGTGCACTTTTAGTTGTTTAGATGGGATGTTAATGAATTTAATACCAGCTTGTAAACTAGTAAATCCACTAAAATACGTCCGCACGATGTGTCAGGTCCAGTTTGACGCATACAATGCGAAGTGGGAACGAAGCCAAATAGACCTTCTCTTTCCAATGGAATCGAGACTTTTAACAAAATATACTACGCAGTTGTGGATAAAAAAGGCAGATAATGGACGCCGTATAAAACGACATCTCGCTAAAGTGGGGCATCAATTTGTTGATAGATAATATCTTGCAGAAAATTCTTGTAAAAAGTTCTCGTTAAAATTTCAGCTAATTTAAAATGGATGCAGCGGTCCAATCGAAAGTTTATAGCCCAACCAAAAGACATTTTTGAGCAAAAAAAATTTTTATTTAAAAGGCATTACATGTTTTGGATGACATTTTGCAGAATGTCCTCGAATACTCTAATCACTGCAAGCAAGGGCCGATAGCATAAATTAGGTTGACAAAACAGCAAAAAAAAAACGAAATCATGAAGCATTTTGAAAAGTCAGCCCAAGTAACGGGATATAGACGACTTTTTCACCTATTTGCGGTTTTCTTCTTTTCTTTTATAAAAAAGAATTAATGGATTCGCCAGCATGTTACGTAACGAAAGGCAGTATTGGTAAGGAGTTTTACACCCAAGGACTTCAAGTGGATAGTCAACGCTGGTTAGTATATCTTTTACGAAAATTGGTGATAGTAGAAAAGCAGAAAAGAACAATGAAGAGAGGTGACGGAAGTGTTGACTACGGATAAATCCAGCTCAGTAAAGAGGGAAGATATTTGGGGAAGGCAGGCTCAGAAAAGAGCCGAGCACACGAAAAAGAAACTACCCAAAGATTACTACTTCATTCCACTAAGCAAAATGGATCGACACAAATCCCAATGGGGACGATTATGGTACTCCAAACTGAGAATTACAAAATTTTTTGAGAAAAGCCACCGACGCCAAACGTTTAGCCGATCTGTTAGAATGCATTCAGTCTTTAACGCCACCATCTTACCTGCTGCAACCATCTAAAGCCACTCAAAAATCCAACTTCCGAGTCCGTTATCCCACTTTTAACAGTATCAAATTTTCAGCACAGTAGCAACGGCGATTCTGTTACAAGTTTTACAAAATTGATTCATAAAAATTTTCCCAGATGAATGAAAATAGGCGTCGCTGGATTATAATGAAGATGATATCGTGCAAAACAACCAACTTGTTTAGAATAAAACCCCCAACGCATGTGAGTACAAATGACAAGACCACAGTAATACAATAAAATGCAAATTGCATCTACGCAGACCCTACGGTCTGCGCGGTTTCGATCATTATTTTTAAATCATACTGTTTTGTTTATCGTAGAGTATCTGCAGGAGAATCTCGACTTCCATGACAGTGAAATAGGACTTCGCTCCTGTTAATTCCATGTCAGTAGTCGCCTAGATCTTCTGAGGGATTGTAATAAAGCTACCCTTACTTTATTCTGTTTTCCGGGGCAATTTGAGAGCTTCAAGTTGGAAGAGAGAGGCCACAATGACATTAATAACGTGAAATGAAACTAATAATGTTGCCGGTCACCTGCAACCTGAAAGTAGCAGATCTCAATGGACTTCGGGCCACCTAAAACCAGGGTGAAAGTGGAATTAGTTTAGAAATAACAGTCACTAATGGGATATTGTGGTAAAATGGGGGCAAACAACCGTCAGAGAGGCGGACAGAGGTGACAAATAACCACGAAATGCTTCTGTTACAGTGATTTTATTCCGAGAGCAGTCGCCTCCACCTATTGTTCTGCCTAGTCACCCTCGCGATTTTGGAAAAATTTGCTGTGGAACACTTTAATAGAAGTTAATCCGTGATAAAAACTGCTGCTGGGCACTGATGAAACAAATGACGAAAACACAAGCCTCATTTAGTACAAGTATAACTTCAGTTAATTATTAATGGTGTCTTTTGATTGCAGTAGGTGTTATACGATATTCAGAACGCTACTCCTATAGAAAAAAAACAGGATAATCCATGTAGAAAAATAGTGTGTTTTGATTTTAGCTACGATTACGCAGCAACCGCGACGGTGACATGGAACCCTGAAGCCGATTATTCTCCAAGACCAACTTTTCGAGGATGACAAAGGTATTTTCATGCTTTTAGGAATTAAACATCCAATCCACCCTCCTCCAAAAAAGAACACCGAAACGAAGCACTACAGAAGAAAGGTGGCAGCTGTGAATGGAACTCGAGGTAGAAGGTTTCCCGAAACTTGCCGTGCAATACCTGAATTTCGAGACTTCAATGATAAAGGGAAATGATGAATCAAGACCGCATCGTAACGATTTAAAAAAAATTTCTCAAAGAACCGTATACAGTAAAAGATGAGCACGATCTAAAAGCTCTATCCCCCCAATGTTGCATGAAGCCAAGTATAATCCAGAGAAGCGGCCGGCCAGAGTGAAAATGAAAGCCTGTTCAAATGCTTTAACCCCAGGGCAAATATTCTCAAGGAAGGGCAGTGAAATTCATAATTTACTAGCTGCAGGAACTACGCTTAGGCTTAAGCAAAGTGTTGAACATAAATACTAGTACAATCTATGAGGCACCCAACTACTATTAACTTTGAAAACATTCTCGCGTTGATGGTCGATACCTTTCAATCTTGTCGTACAATTGAACGTTTATAATTGTGGAAGAAGAGATCACAGGAAGCGCGGAGAGTAGCACTCAAAACAAGGTCAAAGCTATGTAGCAGTGCGATCAGTGGCTCACAGTTTGGCCTTCACGATGGTGGCATATGGTGTTACCTATGGCACCCATGCTACCAGCATCACAAGGCTTCTGTATCTTGACGATAAAGCTATGTCTCTTAGGGCTAACGCAGCCACTAAAAGAGCACTAAACAAGTCTCTGTTCACAGGAGAAAACAAACATTTAAAGTGTGAAGCAAAATTTTGAAATAACAAACAATAAGCAAGCTTGCCACAGCCATCCAGAGTTCTCGTAGAGGGCTATGCTGACAGTCGAACAGACAGACAGGCGGGCTGACCTGATGAGGGCGATTTTTGGCACGACAGTGCGGAGGGTGGCACAAAGGCGATCCGACTGGAAGTAGAGCGGACAATCGGGCAGTTCCTCAGTCGCAACACTAAGCACTCCAATGAGGCGGTCCAGGGTGCCCGGTACTACTATTTTCTCCGTTAGTGGATGCGACCGCACCCCCTCCGCCAGGGTCAACCACTCCGGTATCGTCACTGTTTCCTCTTGTAAAAGGAAGAAAAAGGAGGCTTGAGAGCATTATTTCTGCCTGTATACAAGCTCAACTTCATGAAACCCAAAGCTAAGCACTCTCATCCAGGTACATCACAAAAAAGTATGGGGGTAAAATACCTTCTTGGTGTGAATTTAAACCTTCGTAGTGTCGTGATATATGCAGAGGGCTCCGGCCACAGTCACAAGTAAGGATTCTGATAATGCTTTGCAAAAAGGAAATAACATCAACCTAAGGAGTTAGTATTGAAGCTAAAATAGACTTTCAGATCTACTCACGTCCGTACTCGTGAGAATATCAATGTTGTTAAACGGTGTGTCTAAGCAAGCCCATTGAACGAGCAGAGAGATTCAATCTTGGCACATGTCACTAATTACTAGCCAATGCAATTTTCCCAGATGAACCTTGTAATTCAGAGGGGGCTACTCATCTTCGAGTTGTGATAGACTTTTGTCCAGCGTTTTCATATTTTTTTTGATGCAATGGAAGAAAAGTAGTATCAGAGTTAGCTTTAGTCATTGAACATTTGCGTACTTCCATCTCATTGTTCATATTGCTAAAGTACACCTGTTGCTTGATTAAATAAAAGAGAACCACTGGTTCGGATTATTCCTTCATTGCTTCAACTGTTTGTACAAAAACACCAACCGAACAGAGGAAGAAGAGGTGGAAGTTGAAGGGGGGCAAATGCCAGACAGCCATGGTTTCGTGCATTCGAGAAGCGTTTTTGAGAAAAGAAGTTAATCCCACTTTTAGTCCACTGCTATCCAACTTTAAAGTTGATTCCACCCGACTCTATTCACAAAATTCGTACTTTTGACACTTCCAATCCTACCACACCTGGATTTGGAAAAAAATGCATGAACGGATAGAAATGTGCGCGTAAGGAATTCATAATGTTACATCTGATTATTTATCAGAATACATTTGGTACTCTCTAAAATTTGCCTTTGGGAAATTCTGCCTGGGGAAAAACATTTCGGTTGTATTTAGGCTCCCGCAGTGTAAGACACCTTCAAATGGACAAGATGAGCGCTGCTTTAATGGTTTAAAATGCACTTGAAACGCAAAGCAAAAGTAAGCGGTAATTGATGTTTTGCCTACCGCCTTCAAGTAGGGCGCTGACGGGAATTGCATTAGATGAAATGCTTGCAAAATTTTTCCATTAAAGCAAATTAGTAAAAAAACGTTGCAGTCGCTCTAGAGAAAAAGAGCATTTTTCGGAAAACTATACATTTTATTAGTGTTTCAGGGTAAAGTCAAAACTCGTAGTTAGCCCAAACAACAAAAGAACTTTCAAAAACTACGCACATATATCCAAAAAACCACAATAGTTAAAAAAAGGTTGAACAAGAGCTTCGGATATCCAACACCATTAGGTAGAAAAAAACTCATGTAGACCCGTGCTTTGCCTCTCAAATTTTGTTTTAATTAACATGCTTAGTGCCAACAATGAGCGAAGTTCAACATTAACAACAAAAAAACCTTCCTAAGCCAACATAATCCCTCCTGGAGACAAGAAAAATACAAACGATAAAAGGAGTGATAACTCAAGGAGTCACACACGTAGAAGAGACCAGTTGCATAAAAAGTTTAACTTATAAGTAGCATCACGTCAACGTTTCGAAAGGTAGCCGGCCCGGTTTGCAGGAAACATAAGTTTTGAGGCCAAGGAAGACTGCAGTTAGCTGGCACATTGCCTCGCAGGAGCAACTAACGATGGCGAAAGCAACACGAAAACGGAAGTGGTGAACAGAACCTCACAGCATTAAGGCAAAAAAAACACCTGCTTTCGTCTAGATTCAGGCAGAGACCGGCAAACACACGTGCCAGATGACCGGTGTGACCTATTGCAGTAGCTTCTTGTAACTCGTAGAAATGTCAAATGCAAGCAACTGTTTATGTACATATATTATAAAGCATAGATGGATAGGTATCTACTGCCTTTCACTACAAGAGTTTCTCGTAGAGTTTGAGGAGGGTAGAGCATGCGATAGCAGAAGAAACCACTCAGAAATAGTTAAAAGGCGTGATTATCGTGATGAATCGCTCGACCGCAGATGTGTCGCGTTCAGGGAATAGGATGGGAGAATGGAAAATTACGTATCACTACTGATAATGGTGACCCAAGGTTGAAGGGTCAATAGCTTCCGGCAAATTATAATATGAGTGGCTATGGGGCTCCTTTATGCCTGCATTAATCAGGGAGAGGAACCCACAGCGGAAGCTGAGCAAATGTATCCCACCCACATGCATTGACAACAAGCTGCAAAGCCTATTAATGTTTATCACTTCTTTCATGTAAGTTACAAAATTGTGCAGATTGTGGATTGTTAGCCGACTCACAGGCTTGTGATGAGAGACAGCATTCGCGCTTTGGTACTCTCTAAACGATCCTCTCACTACTCACACCATGGTTCTAGGCACACAGCATTTCATCCCCAGAAGGCCATACTTGCTTTGTGTGCGGTGGACTGTAGATGCAATGTTTTGCTATAAATTACTCGATGAAGCCCTGGTGATAATTACGGCTAAGATCAATCCGCACAACAAGACACAACTGGAAGGTGTGCAAGAAAAACTTCTCTACAAGGCGCCGGAACTAGTCAATCGATGGGGAGAAAGCTTCATTCTTACGAGACCTCACAACTCCGCGAAACCTGGCCGTGAGAAATTTGTCCTTCAGGGTGGAGATGCACTGCCTCACCTCATCCTGTAGAAGTGAGGAGCATAATCTTTTCTCACCATTGGCCGTTCACACGCGAAATAGTTGGAAGGTAAAAGCAAGATGAAAGAAAAGGAGGCTAAGAATATACATTTCCTCCTGGAGGTAAAAAGTTTGCAACAGTGGAATCCACATCATCCTTCTGTCCAGTGGAAAGAGAAGTCAAATTGTGATTGTTCAAAAATATTCTGCAGTTGATAGATCTGTAGCATAAGGATTCGGCGAACCCACTTGGCTGTCTTACAGGAATACACCCATAATTTATATACTATAACATTGACCGTATATTAATACGGATTTATTTTTTTTACCGTTTAAGTATCGGTTCGCAACTTACGGACGGAGATTATTTATAACGAAACGTGGGGATTGTACTATAGAGCACACCGTCTTTTATAGATAATAACACCAATTTCACTTTTTGACCTTAAAGTGAGAGCCTTGAAAACGTGTACGTGTTGGCGTGGTGAATGGTTTAAGATTTTTGCTCCGTAGGATAACATCTTCCTGAGGATAGGATGATAAGAATCAAGCAAAGACACAAACCTTGGAAGGTAAGAAAGAGCATGGAGAACGCTTGGAACTACTAGATGGGGGTTGGAAAGTAGCCCAAACACCCTCCAGCGACTGGCATGAAAAAGTTTTAAAGACACCAATTTGATTAATCGTCTTGAATCGCCAGTGTCAGACCAGCATTCCAAAAAAAACCCCGGTGGATAACAGGTTCCACTACTCAGGTGTTTTCTCAATCACATAATAGCAAATAACTAACTAGTAGCCCTAGTTTATAAATAAATATATACATCCAAAAAGCGGCCAAAAAATATTCGAGAACATTGCTGCAGTTTTGGGCTAAAACGTACCGAAATTTAGCTGGACACTTAAGGAATGCATTTTTTTTCCGGTTGGTTGATAAGACAGATGGCTCATTACTAAAAAGTAAATTTTTATTAGTCATACCAAGATGACTCTCCGCTCATTCTGTTGGGCTATTTGACACCAAAGCCCAACTGTTCATTCAGTAGGAGCCTGATGCATTTCCACTCACCCGTTTGTAATGGGCCACACACACAAGATGGCCACTATCAGACACCCAAGAACAATAAAGGGTATCAAACAATCGGGACTTAGTAGTGATGGTCAAGAAAGACACGTTAAATTCGATTGAAAAGTGAGGAGGTTGAAAAGCCTTTTGGCGAGATTGTGCCTCTCTGCACATTCCATAATGCGTATTCGCACCAGCCGAACCCGATTGACGCGAATGAGGGTGTGAAAAAACGCGGATTGCTTATGGACATGAATTCTTCAAACACGGTCATTTACATTTGAAGTGGCAACTAGAAAAGGCAACATCCGCCTTTACCTTTCCCTCACCCCCCTCCTGTTGTAACATCAAAAGACAAATTAAGCGATTGCAGCCGAGCAGCGCGCGACTGTCAGACAGGATGCCTGATGTAGTGTGTTGGCTCTCCCCTCTATTCGTCGCCATTACTAGCACGCAAGTGAGGCAAAATCGTCGCGATTGGAAAAGTCAAAAAACCCTGTGGTTATTAAAAGAGGTTATTACTTATTAACCAAATGGAAGTGCTTGACTCCTCAAATTTCGGCCTAAAATACAGATTTTTAGATCCGGTACCGCAATAAATGAGCATGGAAGAAAATTGCGATCACATCCAAAACTTCAAAAGCGCCATTCAGAAACCAACTTTCCACACAAATTTGGTCATCATTTAAGTGAATATTCATTACTGCGGAAATGAACACTTGTGTTCAAAGAGTCATGCCTCAAAGGAAGAACAAAAGAGTACCGATACAAAGCAGACGAAAGTCCACAGTGCCCACCTTTTTAGTTTCTTTTTACTTCTAATACACCGCTGCTTTAAAAGGTCTAGATGATTGAACCAATAAGTGAAGTCAAGCAGGGAAGCAGCATCAACCGAGAAAAATTCGCAAACCAATTTTTTTGAGAATTCGAATTATCTATCAATAAAAAAGGCACAACAGGGGCTGTACAGCCTAAGAACGCACCAAATGACACGGTGATATGGAGCACAGCATCGATACCAGTAAGTTTAATGCAGTATGATTATACTTGTTTTAATGATGAGCACTATAATAAACTCCTGCTCAATCTCTTGAGGTTTGACCTTTACAATCCTTGCAGGGACTTACCCTCATGCCACCCATACAAACGGTACTTATTTCCTTTGGTATGCTTAAAACATCAGTACCCCCTAATTAAGTGTCTGGCAATACTTGAAAGGGTAAATCGGGCGCTACGTTGGTGGCAGTGTTGAAAAACCAGCTCCAAAGGAATAATAAACACAATTTCAGTGGCTGAAGTTGACGCCAAAATGGCATAGAAAGAAGCCATCATCTATCTGTGAGTGGCTTAATCTGCAAAGTCTCAGACCCGAAGAACTCTCAAAATCACGTCAATTTTTAGTAACTACCAAGGCAATATTTGCAATATTAGTGTCAAAATAGCATAATCGAAAAACCTCACCCCTTCCTGCGGTAAAAGAAGTTGGAAATAATTCCATTAGGTGGCTGAACAACAGTAAAATAGCAAAACAGTGAAAACCAAGAAGTGCCTTCGCAGTGGTCGCTTTTGGAAGTCGTTGAAGTAATGATGACAGTCTAAAGTGCCACGCCATTCATTGATTGCACTACCTTACGCTAAGGTTTTGGAATAAATGTATCCGTTCCGGAAAAAAACAACCCATTTGCTATAGCAGCATCCGCTGAAAGGTGATGTTTTAAAACGACATCAGACCAACTCGTGATACTGTTATTTCCTCTAATGATGCAGAATAGCATTAAGGTACCGTTTGAATTAAAAATGCAGCTATAAGTTTACCAGAACGCAGTAGGGTGGCCATCACCACCATGTCGGCGAGAGAGAGAGAGGTTACGTAAAAGTACACAAGAACTGAACTGATGAGTATGCAACACATGGACGTAGTGCGGATGACGTAGGCTACGCATGTACCATGATGGTAAGTACGCGCCGTGGGCACAAGAGGACCTGTCTTCAAACTGACCCCCTCCCCTCCTCCAACCAAAGTAATAGCGCCCTCTTCTTCAGCAAATTTGCCAACTTGATGAATGGGACCAAATTCCCTTTTCCCCATAGGTTGTGGTAAAGTTCACTACAGGCTTCTCGCGCTTTGCCGCTGCTATGGTCTGAATAAAAAAGCGATTTCTGAAGGCTAGATTCCTTCGATATCCACATTTTTAAACTAACTTAAATTAGCAGAACGCAAATGGTGGACTATGGTTCCAACAGACAATAAAATGATCTCTTTCCAAGATGTAATAATTCAGAGCCCTAGCTTATAAGGGGTCGCAAAACGAAAACAAAAGAAGCACTCTCGACCTCGACCTTTTCGGTGTGTAAACGTGCGGTGAGATAAAAAATGAGCTATTCACCCTTTAGCTGCAGTACTGACATTGCCAGTGTCAAATGCGGTTTTTAATTAAGTGGAGGGAAAGAAGGATGAAAGAAAAGTGAAGCGAAAGGAAGAAATGGCACCACTCCTCCCAATCTACATTGAAGAATATTATAAATAGGCAATTGAAGCCTGATCAACAAAATAAAGTAGAAAAGGGCAAAATTCATGATTGCCACTAGGCAAATGACACCATACGATGCAACTGACACATACTAGCAAAAAGTAGGACTAAAGTCCTGCTGATGGAATATTTGGAACCAAAAGGGAATACATTGTATAAAAGGATAAAAAGACGCTTTGTCATATCTTGAGTTTTGAATAAGCATAGTTATATTTAAAAAAGGGTCGCTACTAGCAACGCACGTTTGATGCCTCCACTAATCTGAGCACAGTACTGCAGTTATAGGACGTGCTGCTTAGGCGTTTATGATGGCTAATTGTATCAAATCCGTGTTCAAACAGATTCATTGAAATAAAAAGAATAAAATAGACTTAGAAGATTCTTGAATTGATCAGCTATGCTGTGCGAGTGTTGGTGTCACAATGGAGCAGCTAAAGCATCTAGATCGTTGAGGTTGACTTCCCTCTGTGACCCAGACAAATAACCCTGTTAAAAGATCCTCTTTCTTGGAGTAATCCGCATTCAAGAAGTTAGCCATTGATAAATATACTGCCTAAAGTACAGCATCCACGTATCTCATCACTTATATAGACTTTCAAGTAATCAAATCAGATGCAGCTTACATTACCTTTGATTTGAGCATTTAGTTCAAATCAGGGATCCCGTCCTAACTCTCATTTACGGATCTCGCAAATGCCCTCTACCCTCCTTGGTGTTGACATCCATGAGGAGCAATATTGTGCCGTGGAGTCCCCGGGCTCCCGACATAGGAATGCGCCACTAATCCATACAGTCCCGCCCTTTTCAAGGTGAACCTCCCGACTCCCTCAAGTCATCAAACCACTGACATTTGAGTGCATTCCGGAGTAAATAAGCGGAAACTTATTGCCCGCCTAATTGTGCTGCTTTGTTTCGTAAACAAGGCATAAAATCTTGCATGCATTTTAGCAACTCACATCTCAGGTCATTAGCGAGTGTGTGCAAATTGTACCACTAAAAGTTTCCCTTAACCAATCCTTCGGCACCAACTCTCCTCCACTTCACATTTGTTTACTCGCTGGGAGTAGGCGTACAGAACTGCTCATTCCCAAGCCTGTCTGGCAGATCGAGGCCTCTTCGAGTCAGTACTGCGCCCGACCTCCATTCCTGGTCTTTGACACTACATGTGAACATTGAAGACTTGGCACTTCTGGTCCTCCTCTTGTGCTGGCTTTTCTACCCATGAATGGGCTAACTGAAAAGTGAAGATGACAAAGAAATGCAATTTCCCCACCATGAAAACGCACAATCATCCATGGCATCATCCAGCTACATCCAGCCATGAGTATCGCACGCGTAGATTTAACCACCCACTTGGCTAACCGAGTGTCAGCCTCAGTCTCCCTCAGTCTCTGGAACCGGTTTATTTGGATTCCCCTGCCTCTGCCAATGTGCGTCTCTAGTCTCATGAAAAAAAAGCGAGAAAGTGGAAATGCCTGCAAGTCAGACGCTTAAATGCATGTAGACGAGGCAGTGCATTGGCTAGATCTGACAGGCGAACACCCGAACTCATGGCCATAAGGCAAACAACAGTTTTCGCTTCCAGCTAAAAGCTCCAATTGTATTACTTACAAATGGAGCAATACAACAACATTTTAGCCGTATTTTATTAGTCTCCATATGAACTGCCCAAGAGTAGCACAAATTCAGAAAGAGGGTCTCTTCACTTCTTCTTCTGTGCGACAAAAGGTGAATTCTACATCGACCCCAATGGCGGTCACTGGCGCGACTCCTTCCCGGTGCAATGCCAACTGGGCACACTGACCACGGTCATTCCGTCGCTCATGAAGCACCCTAAACCAGTCGGTCTCTCGCGCATCGTCAATAACTACGGTTCCTTCTGGTACGCCACTGCGGCTCTCAAATCCAACGAAGCGGTAAGCAAACCTCCTCCTGTCCAATCCCATTGACAAGACCCTCTTCATTAGGTGTCTTTCATAAGCACCACTGCAGTCCTGTTCTGGTGGAAGTCTAGCCCCACGTTTCTACTGCTGCACCAGACTCAA